TTTTCAAAGTTTGGTAAAATTTTGGTAGATGTTTGTTGAAAATAGGAATGGGTAAATTCACTTTAGTCATTGCACTTTAGGGTATTTTCAAAGATTAGTCCCTAAGTTTCTACTATAAATACCCTTACCCATTTAGCTTCAAAATCATCCCAAAAAATTTCTTTCTTCCTATACTAGAGAGCTTTCTTGTGAGTAGTGAGTGTTTTGTAAACACCTGTCAAATTTTCTCTCTTAGTAAAAGATCTGCAGCAGCCCGGAGACGTAAGCACAATTGGCTGAACTCCGTTATCAATTTTCGGGTATTATTTTTACGCTTTTATTTCGCATTCTCACTAATCTGGTTATAGGGAAATTACTTGTACTCGGTTTATTTTCCTAACAACTGGTAATCAGAGCTTTTGGTTGTGAATTTTGTCAAATTTTATGTGAGGTTACTATTCATTACTATTCACGTGAATAGTGAATTTCATGAATAGTGAAATTCGGTCGGCGATACGAGTTTGTCGACGGTGGTGTTCTAATACACGGTGATTCGCAAGAATTGTCAGAAACGATCCAAACGAAGCCAGATTCGAGTGGGAGCGATGGCTGCAGACGAAGGGAAGGTGAAAATTGAAAAGTTCGATGGTGCGGACTTTGGCTTTTGGAAGATGCAGATTGAAGATTTTTTGTACCAGAAAAATCTATATCAACCTCTCTCAGGAAAGCAACCAGAGGGCATGAAGGATGAAGATTGGGCTCTTCTCGACAGACAAGCCCTCGGAGTTATCCGACTGACGTTATCCCGCAATGTTGCTTTTAACATAGCAAAGGAAAAGACCACGGCGGGTCTTATGGTGGCTCTCTCCAGTATGTACGAGAAGCCATCGGCCTCAAGCAAAGTTCATTTGATGAGGCGATTATTCAATTTGCGGATGGCGGAAGGGGCATCGGTGGCACAACACCTAAATGAACTCAACACAATCACAACCCAGTTGAGTTCAGTGGAAATTGAGTTCGATGATGAAGTTCGAGCTTTAATTCTCTTATCATCTCTACCAGACAGTTGGAATGCTACTGTTACAGCAGTCACCAGTTCGTCGGGAAACAGCAAATTAAAATTCGACGATGTTCGGGATCTGGTATTGAGTGAAGAAATTCGACGAAGAGAATCGGGTGAAGCATCAACCTCCTCAGCCTTACACACGGAGTCTAGAGGGAGAACTTCAGAAAGAAATTTAAATCGTGGCAGATCAAAATCTAGAAGGGGCAAATCAAGAACAGGAAATAAAGATTTTACCTGTTATAATTGCGGCAAAAATGGTCACTTCAAAAGAGATTGCCGAGCACCGAAGAAAAATACCGGCGCACAGGAATCTGCCAACGTGACAGAGGAGACAGGTGATGCCATGATTCTAAGCGTCAACAGTCCGATTGAATCATGGATCTTGGATTCAGGGGCATCTTTCCACTCCACCCCATACCAAGAAATCATGGAGAACTATGTCAGTGGTGATTTTGGGAAGGTTCATCTTGCTGATGATGAAACCTTAAAGATCATCGGAAAAGGAGACATCCGACTAAAGTTGTCAAACCAGACCACCTGGAAGCTGACAGGAGTGAGACATATTCCTGGCCTCAAAAGAAATCTGATTTCTGTTGGACAGCTTGATGGAGAAGGATATAGCACAACCTTTTCAGGCTGTGAATGGAAGATTACCAAAGGAGCACTCGTCATTGCTCGTGGTAAGAAGACTGGTACTCTCTATGTAACCTCAAATTTAGAGAATATCATTGCAGTAGCAGATGCTGATGGAAAATCAAACCTATGGCACCAAAGGCTTGGCCATATGAGCGAGAAAGGGATGAAGAAACTTTTGTCAAAAGGGAAGCTGTCGGATCTAAAGAATGTAGATGTCGGACTATGCGAGGATTGCATCTTTGGCAAACAAAAGAAAGTCAGTTTTGCAAAGATTGGCAAGACACCCAAGGCAGAAAGGTTAGAATTGATTCATACTGATGTATGGGGACCATCCCCAGTTCCATCTCTTGCAGGCTCACTATATTATGTCACCTTCATCGATGATTCAACAAGGAAGGTGTGGGTTTATTTTCTGAAGAAGAAATCAGAAGTCTTTGATACCTTCAGAAAATGGAAGGCCATGGTGGAAAATGAGACTGGTTTGAAAGTCAAGCGGTTGAGGTCTGACAATGGAGGAGAATACAGAGACAGCAGATTCAGAGATTTCTGCGCAAACAATGGGATCAAGATGGAGACAACAGTTCCCATAACACCGCAGCAGAATGGCGTAGCAGAGCGCATGAACAGAACTCTGAATGAACGTGCCAGAAGCATGAGGATACATGCCGGATTGCCCAAATTTCTATGGGCTGAAGCTATCAACACTGCAGCTTACCTGATCAACCGTGGGCCCTCAGTTCCTTTGGATGGCAGAATACCAGAGGAAGCTTGGAGCAAGAAAGAAATAAACCTTTCACACTTAAGAGTGTTTGGTTGTATTTCTTATGTACACATAAACTCTGATGAAAGAAGTAAACTTGATGCCAAGTCCAACAAATGCGTCTTTGTTGGTTACGGTGGTGATGAGTTCGGTTACCGGTTTTGGGACTACGAAAATCGAAAGATCATCAGAAGCAGAGACGTCATTTTCAATGAAAATGTGATGTACATAGATAGGTCAACCGCAGAATCAAGTAATACCGAAGCTGAAACAAAGGAATTTGCTGAGTTCGAGGATATTTCTGGAAATGATGTTCAGATCAATCCTGAAGCAGTTCAAGAAGAACCACACACACCAGAACTGAGACGCTCCTCCATAATTCCTAAACCAACCCAACGGTATTCGCCTTCTTTGCACTATTTGTTGCTGACTGACAATGGTGAACCAGAGTGCTATGATGAAGCAATGCAGGTGGAGGATTCAGTCAAGTGGGAGTCTTCCATGAAAGATGAGATGGACTCGCTTATGTCAAATCAGACGTGGGAATTAGCTGAATTACCACCAGGCAAGAAAGCGCTCCATAACAAGTGGATTTACAGGATCAAAGAAGAACATGATGGGAGAAAACGCTACAAAGCAAGATTGGTTGTCAAAGGTTTTCAGCAAAAAGAAGGTATTGACTACAATGAAATTTTCTCTCCAGTCGTAAAACTGTCTACAATCAGACTGGTGTTGAAAATTGTAGCTGCGGAGAATTTACATCTCGAGTAGTTAGATGTAAAGACAGCTTTCCTTCATGGTGATTTGGAGGAAGAGATCTATATGAGGCAGCCAGAAGGCTTCATAGAGGCAGGCAAGAAAAACCTGGTATGCAGGTTGAAGAAGAGCTTGTATGGTTTAAAACAAGCTCCTAGACAGTGGTACAAGAAGTTCGATAGTTTCATGAGTAACAGTGGTTTTACCAGATGCCAAGCAGATCATTGTTGCTACATCAAGAGGTTCGACAATAGTTTCATTATTTTATTGTTGTACGTTGATGACATGCTCGTTGCAGGCTCAAACATGCAAGAGATCATAAACTTGAAGCAAAAATTGTCGAAGCAGTTTGCTATGAAGGATCTGGGCGCTGCAAAGCAGATTCTTGGGATGAGGATCAAGAGAGACACAAAGTCGGGGACTTTGATGTTATCGCAGGCTGAGTACATCAACAAAGTACTCTCCAGGTTCAACATGCAAGATGCTAAACCAGTAAGTACACCTTTAGGTGTTCATTTCAGACTCTCCAAAGACCAATCACCAAAGACGGAGGAAGAACGTGCACACATGGTGAAGGTGCCGTATGCCTCAGCAATTGGAAGTCTGATGTATGCCATGGTTTGTACCAGACCAGATATTGCTCATGCAGTGGGAGCTGTTAGCAGGTATATGAATAATCCGGGCAAGGTACACTGGGAAGCAGTCAAATGGATCCTCAGATATCTTCGGGGTACCACAAACAAAGCACTTTGTTTCAAAGGTGGAGATATGATACTGACAGGCTATGTAGATGCTGACTTAGCCGGAAATGTCGACATCAGAAGGAGCACTACAGGGTATGTCTATACTCTAGGAGGAACTGCAGTGAGTTGGGTTTCTCAACTACAGAAGATAGTTGCTCTCTCCACAACTGAAGCAGAATATGTCGTTGTTACGGAAGCCAGCAAGGAGATGGTTTGGCTCCAAAGTTTCTTGGAAGAGTTAGGCAAGAAACAAGAAAACAATATCTTGTATTGCGACAGTCAAAGTGCTATCCATCTAGCAAAGAATCCGTCTTTTCATTCCAGGACAAAGCACATACAATTGAGATATCATTTTATCTGGTCTCTTCTAGAAGATGGGATTTTGAAACTTGAAAAGATTAGTGGAGCTCAAAATCCGGCAGACATGTTGACAAAGACGGTGACTACGGACAAACTGAAGTTGTGTTCAGCTTCAGTTGGCATGCTAGAATAACAAGACCAGACATGCTGCTGCATTGATCGAGGTGTGAAGACATATTAAAATCAGTCTTCAAGTGGGAGATTGTTAAAAGTTTCAAAGTTTGACAACCAACTTTGGAAAATATTTTTTCAAAGTTTGGTAAATGTTTCTTTGAAAAATGTTTTTCAAAGTTTGGTAAAATTTTGGTAGATGTTTGTTGAAAATAGGAATGGGTAAATTCACTTTAGTCATTGCACTTTAGGGTATTTTCAAATATTAGTCCCTAAGTTTCTACTATAAATACCCTTACCCATTTAGCTTCAAAATCATCCCAAAAAATTTCTTTCTTCCTATACTAGAGAGCTTTCTTGTGAGTAGTGAGTGTTTTGTAAACACCTATCAAATTTTCTCTCTTAGTAAAAGATCTGCAGCAGCCCGGAGACGTAAGCACAATTGGCTGAACTCCGTTATCAATTTTCGGGTATTATTTTTCCGCTTTTATTTCGCATTCTCACTAATCTGGTTATAGGGAAATTACTTGTACTCGGTTTATTTTCCTAACACTTCCCACACCCCTCTCCTTATCTATATATTTCCAACCCTTGTAGTTTTATCCATAAGCCTAACCAGTAGAAACGGAGATTTGTGTGATCAATGGGAGACTCTTCTGCTTCATACATCCACCTGGTAATAAGTAAACAATTAATCAACCTTGTTGATTTCGTGTTTCCACTTGTAATTTTCATCTGTATATTTATATGCAGGTACAGCATCTTATAGAAGAATGTTTGATATTCAACATGAGCAAAGAAGAGTGCATGGAAGCTTTATCTAAGCACGCCGACATTAAACCAGTCATAACTTCAGCAGGTTCTCAGCTGACTCACCCTTTTTCTTCTCTCTCTTTATTTTATTGCAGATGATAAAGCTTCCATGCACTGTAATATTCATTATATGATCTTTATGATTTTGGGTTTTCAGTTTGGAATGAATTGGAGAAAGAGAACAAAGAGTTCTTTGAGGCTTACATAAGGGGAAGAGGCCAGAGATCAACTGAGACAGAGAAAAGGCAAAGGATTCAGAAGAGGCTTAATGCTATCACGAAGGATTCAGACTAATAGTAGAAAACGACGTCGCAGGAAGAGAATGAAGAATTGTAGAACCCAACAGTAGTTGGGAAGCGTGACGGCATGTGAGAATGTGGGAGCAGCATATGAACAAAACGGGATTGCAGGAGCTGATGGCACGTCCTACAGACGTGGCACCGCCCTCTTTGTTTGCTTTTGTATTACTATTAGTGTCGTTTTATATAACCCCACTTTTCTCTTTGGTCCTTTGCGCATTTAAGAACTAAGTGTATGATTTGAAATAAATAAAAACGTTTGATTAAAAAGGCTGACTTGGGGACCACGTAATGTTATAAAAGGGACGACTGCGTGTCTATTATCAGAGTCCCAAGCTTTTGGGTTCCCCCCCCCCCGGTTTTGGAGCAATAGAAATCACTTTATCCCATGCCCATCAAACAACGTTTCTCCATCTTTGTGTTTCATATGTATTATTTTGTGATGTCGAAGTAGGCGGTGGAGAAAACCTACTTCGTCTTCTAAGCTCATATGAGTTGGTCCACCCAACCCATTTGCCAACCACCTCAAGTACGCGGTTTTAGCTTTAAACTCAAAATGGATTTTCGCATACATCAAATATATTTCGTTCTTTTAATAGAACAAACGATGAACACAATACATATCGTTTTTTTCACTGTTATCACGTGTTAAAAATTCTTACACGAATCACGTATGATCTTAATCATTAAAAGTTATATATCTTATATTTTTTCATTCATATTATTTTTAATGACACATTTTCATTTTTTTCATGTATATGAAAGTTGATGGTTACTAGAAAATTTGTATAAGTGGATTAGTAACGTAGAATAAAAAATATGAAATTATTAATTTTTATTGATTAAAATTATTAATCATACGACAAAAGAGAATTTATGAAATAATCCCTTCTTAATATGTAAACCAATCCTATGCTGTCTTGTTCTCATTTTGTGGGATTTTTACTTTTTATTTATCAATCATATCATATGGACCAAATCTCAATTATTCGAGCAGCTGGGGTTATTTTTCATCTCCCCCTATTTTGTCTCCTTTCTCTCTGCTTTTCGCCTACAACCCTAGTTGTGTCTGGCCTTGATTAAGTATATAGGTTCTATATTAGATGATTAAATAAATATATATTTTATTGAACATTTAAAAGATATAAACATTACACTAAAATGATAGAGGTAAATATATCATTTTCCCTTTTAGATTATAAATGTTATTATTATCTTACGTATACTATATATAATATTAATGATTAAATTTAGTGTTAGAAGTTTGAGGGATGAAATTAAAATAAAATTATAATTATTATAGTAGACATTTTTTAATAAAAAATACAGGTACTTCATTAGGGCTAATGTGCATTATCTCATTTAAAAATTTAATCGTATATATAAGAAACGCCGTCGTTTTCAAGAAAATACCGCAGATTCTAGATATCCTCGTTGATTGAAGGGTTTTGAATTACCCCTTCGCCCTCTGCGTTATCATCAATCAGGGTTTTAGGGGGGGAAGAAGCATAAGGGGGAAAACTCTCTCTTTTCACTAAGAAATGGAGTCTCTTGCTAAAGTGAACTGCCGTCAACAACCTCTTCATCTCTCTTTCAATCAGTACAGTCCATCTTTTGCTAAACCCGCATCATCTGTCACCTTCAGAACTTCATCGTTATCATCGTCGTTCAAAATACCCTCTATCAGAGCGTCATCTTCCTCGTCATCTCCGTTGAATCAAACCCCCAAACCTTCACTTCTCCAAACGTTAACTCCTCTGCTCAAAACCACTTGCATTACTCTAACCGCCGCCGCCGCACTCCTCCTCACGCGATTCCACCAGAAACCCGCGCTCGCAGCCGCCCCAACTGTAACACCCACGGTGGAGCCCTCCTCAAAAGAATTGAATATATCATTGGAAGACCAAGAGAAAACCATTGAGGAACACTTGATAGTGAACCCAAACGACATTGAAGCTCTACAGGCACTCATGGAGGTCAGAATCAAATCGAAGAAACTTCCACAAGCTATTGAAGTTATCGACCGTTTGATTGAGCTCGAACCAGAAGACGATGAGTGGCCAATGTTAAGAGCCCAAATTCTTAGCTACAGTGGCGACTACGCTCAAGCCAAGAACGAGTTCGAAGAGATAATAGCTAAAGACCCGGCTCGAGTGGAGGCATTTCACGGCCTTGTAATGGCTTATTCGGAGTCAGGTGAGAAATTGAAAGAGCTGGAAAAAAGAATTGAAGGGGCAATGGAGAAATGCAAGAAAGAGAAGAAAAATAAAGATTTTAGAGACTTTAAGTTATTGATTGCTCAAATTCGGGTCATTGAAGGCAATCATTCGGAAGCTTTGAAGGTATATGAGGGCTTGGTGAAGGAAGAACCAAGGGATTTTAGGCCATATCTGTGTATGGGTGTTATTTACTCCTTGTTGAAGAAGAAAGATGAGGCTGAGAAATACTTTGAAAAGGTTAGGAGACTTGTTCCTAGGAATCACCCTTATAGGGAGTACTTTGTTGATAATATGGTGGCAACAAAGCTTTTCTCTGAAAAGGCTGAGAGGGAAGGCGCTTGAAAGAGTGGATAAACATTTGCTTTGTTTATCGTCATTGGAGCAAAATGGTGGTTTTTACAAAGAGGTGCCCTTTGTTTTGTTTTTAGTTACCTTTTAATGTTTTTGCAACAGTTTGGATAGTGATTTAAAGTTACTTAGGTATTTACCGTTGTAATATGGATAATGATAAAAGGCTGATAATTGAGTTTGTTTAGTCGTTTCTCTGCCTGTATTTTGCATGGACATCTTAGGAAGCTTGATATGCCTTTATGTTCTATTGATTGTTGCATTAAATGATTTTTCATGGTTAAGTATGAGCTTTGCTGAGTTGTGGTGATATTCCCTCATAACATATCGAACTGAACCTCGGAAATGTCGTCAAATATTTCCCTTATGAGGCTAATACGTAGGAGTATACGTGGTTCATGAAAGATATAATATATGGTATTGATAGTTTCAATTTGAGGTAAGCATTTTAGTTCGTTTATATGTATTGGGAGTCGATAATTATGCAGTAGAGATTGCTTTGTAGTAGCTATACATGCTGGTGTTACAATAGTTGCTTTATCAAGAGACTGATGTGATAAATGAGAATTTGCTAGAATTGCTGGTATGGAAACAGGGATGCGCAATGCACAAATTCTGAAATTTTGCCCAAAGAAGCAAGAGAGGGTGAAAAGTAAGTGTTAATCTGTTGTGTTTCTGTTACAAAAGGTAGGAAATTTGAAGAAGTTTTCGGTTTCTTTCTCCATGAAAAGGTATTTTCATCAAATTTCTGAACTTGCAATGGCTTCAGCCTTCGATGTTGCGGCATTTTAGGATACATGTTTTACTTAGAAAATACCCCATAGACAATATACCTAAAAAGAAAACGTAAATGTCCTGTAAAATCGATATATAGGACTTTCAGAGAGTAGACTTACAGGGGCCAGTTTATTTTCTTTGCTGGTGAGTAATGAGCTGCATGTGCATACGAGATTAGAAGTTTTTGAAGGAATTCAGTGCAAAACATTACTTGATTTGAGCTCATGGCCGGTGGATCACTTTCATTTTTGAGTTTAGTTTATACATCGTGATTGGTAAGTTTTTGTATTACTTTGATTTAGAAATTTTGTTCGCCATTACCTTTCATACTTCTTTTTTTGCAGCCTGGGCTGGCTAGTTCCCAAATGTTGAAATAGAGAGAAGAGTAATGAGAAACAATGTCTTGAGTTTTCCATTGATTAAGAGTGAATATATATACACAAAATTGGACACATAGAAATAGGAAACTAGCCTAGAGTTAGGGGATTACAACTAATTACAAGGCATAGAAATAGGAGACTAGCCTAGAGTTAGGGGATTACAACTAATTACAAGAATATTATAATTGATTACAATAATTTAAAATATAGATAAAATCTATTATAATTAATTCTCTAATATGCCCCCTCAAGATGGAGCTCAGGAGGAGACACCAATCTTGACCCTTAAATCTTGGAATCGGCTTCGTGGAAGCGGTTTGGTAAGAGCGTCGGCAAGTTGATCTGCTGAGGAAACATGAGTAACACGAAGAGCACCTGATTGAACTTGACCCCGAATAAAGTGATAGTCAAGTGCCACATGTTTCATGCGCGAATGAAAGACTGGATTAGAACAGAGATAGGTGGCACCAACATTGTCGCAGTAGATAACAGGCGGTGTAGAAAGAGTGATGCCAAGTTCTGTGAGAAGGGAACAAATCCAATTGAGTTCAGAAGTAGTAGCGGCAACTGATCGATACTCAGCCTCCGTGGAGGATCGAGCAACTGTACGTTGTTTCTTGGATGACCAAGAAATAGGATGACGACCAAGATAGACAATATAGGCACTCGTTGAGGTATAATCATCTTTGTTTCCAGCCCAATCAACATCTGAGAATGCATGAAGGGAAAATGGATTTGCCTTGTGAAGGAATAATCCATGAGTTAATGTGCCACATAGATATCGAAGCAGTCGTTTTGCAGCATTCCAATGTTCAGACGTCGGGGCGATGCATGAATTGAGAAAGCTTGTTGACAGCATATGCTATGTCTGGGCGAGTGAGGCAAAGATACTGTAGACTGCCAACAATTGTTCTATATTCTGTGCAGTCAGTTAGAGCTGTACCTGAATGAAGTGTAAGATTTCCATCTGTAACAAGTGGTGTAGCAACAGGTTTTGCACCAATCATTTTTGTCCGGGCAAGAAGATCAGTGATGTAGCGCCTTTGAGTAAGCAGCAGACCGGATGGAGTAGTTAGAACCTCAATGCCGAGAAAATAAGACAATGTGCCAAGATCCTTGATTGAAAATCTTTGTGCCATGAGGTCAATGTAGCGCTGAATAATATTGGTGTTGGTGCCTGTGATAATAATGTCATCCACATAAACAAGTAGATATATAGTAGTGTCACCTGAGTGAAGAATGAATAGGGAAGTGTCTGCTTGAGAGTTTGTGAACCCAGACTCAATGAGGAATTGGTGAAGTTCAAGGTACCAAGCCCGTGGGGCCTGCTTGAGTCCATATATTGCTTTCTTTAGTTTGCATACATGTGTTGGATTGTCTTTATCAACAAATCCTGGAGGCTGGGCCATGTAGACATCTTCGGAAAGATGGCCCTGAAGAAAGGCATTATTAACATCCAATTGTCGCAATTGCCAACCTCTACTGACTGCCAGGCTTAGAACAAGTCGTATTGTTGTCGGCTTGACAACCGGACTAAAAGTGTCATGATAATCCACTCCAGGTATTTGATGAAAGCCTTTGGCAACTAATCTAGCTTTGTACCTGTCAATAGAACCATTAGGAAGCCGTTTAATACGAAAGACCCACTTACATCCAATAAGATTCTGCAGAGAAGTAGATGGAACAAGCTGCCAAGTTCCATTCCGAACAAGAGCATCAAACTCATCATTCATAGCTTGTCTCTATTTGGGATCTTTTAGGGCTTGAGAAACAGTATGAGGCTCAATGTCTGATGGTTGAGAAATGATAGCAGTGAGGTTTATTTTGGTTAGGGGTTTATGGATGTTGTTTTTCGATCTAGTGGTCATGGGATGGGTATTTTGATGGGTGGGTTGCGCTATGATTGAAGCAGAAGAGGTCTCAGAATTGTGTGGTTCTAGTGGTAAATGGTCGACGATGGTTTCTTGGCGATTAACCGAGCTGTGTTCGGGTAAAGGGAGGTCTATGGATAGGGATCGACGGTCGACTGATGAGGAAGGGCAGTGGTCTGTTTGGGTATTTTGTGACGAATGTTGACATGAGGAATCCCTTTGTGGAGGCGTATTGAGTGAGCCACTTGAAATTGGTAAAATTTGGACCGGGGGAAGCCATTTGGAAATGATCTCTGGGGTGGGACGCGCTAGATGGATTTGGTGAGTGCTAAAGGGAAATGAGTTTTCAAGAAATTTGACATGACGAGAAATGTATATTTTAGAAGTGGATAGAGCGAGACAGATATATGCACTTTGTGTTAAAGAGTAGCCAAGAAAAACACAAGGAGTGGAACGAGAGTCAAGTTTGTGCTGAGAATAAGGACGAAGCCACGGATAACATAAGCAACCAAACACCCGAAGTTTAGTGTAGTTGGGTTGAGACTCAAAGAGTTTCTCAAAAGGAGATGAAAAATGTAGTGTGGGTGTGGGCATACGGTTGATGAGATATACAGCAGTGGCAAAGGCGTAAGTCCAATAAGTTAAAGGCATTGATGCATGAGTAAGGAGAGATAGACCAGTTTCAACAATATGTCGATGACGTCGTTCAGAAAAACCATTATGTTCTGGTGTATGGGGTGGTGTAGTAAGATGTGATATACCATTGGTGGAGAGAAAACGATCAAGGGCTTGATATTCACCACCATTATCTGAATAGAGGGTAATAATTCGGTGTTTAAATTGGTTTTCGACTAATGCCTTGAAACGTACAAAGACGTCATGCACATGAGATTTTCGTTTAAGGGGATAATACCAAATATATCGTGTATAATGATCAACAAAAATAACATAGTATTGAAAACCATCAACAGAATAAACAGGAGAGGTCCAGACATCAGAAAAGATAAGTTCAAGCGGGTGAGATGAAGTTAAGGTAGAAGAAGAAAATGGAATTTTATGACTTTTATTGCATGAACATGCATTGCAATGTGTGAAGGAGGATAACGGACTAGACAATGGTAAAGGAAATTTGGAAACAATATTTTTCATAATAGTAAATGACGGATGACCTAGTCTAGAGTGCCACTCGGACGAAGTGGTCTTGACACTGGAAAATGCAAGCAATGGTGAAGAGGAAAGTGAAGGGGATGTAGTCGGCCACTCATATACGCCATCCTTAGGTTCACCCATCAAAAGGATTGTCCCCGTGTTTAGATCCTTCACCTGAAAAGCAGAGGGTGAGAATTCAACAGAAACATGGTTATGAGTGCAAAATTGATAAATCGAAATTAAGTTCTTTTTCATGGAAGGGACACAAAGGACATTTTGTAAAGTAAAGGTGCGAGAGGAAGTTGGTATGGTGGTAGAACCAGTATGGGTTATGTGAAGGGTCGATCCATCGCCAATCATGACATCATCAGATCCTTGGTACGAGCTATGAAGAGAGAGATTGCTCAAGTCAGACGTAACGTGGTGAGATGCTCCACTATCCAGCAGCCAAGTAGGTGTAGTGTTGTTGCCCAGAATAGTATGATTGGCTCGTGGTTGCCAGGGTGTGGAAGGGCGATATCCCTGAGAGCCTTGAGGACGAGATGCTGGTGATTGTTGATTATTGACAAGCCGAAACATCGGGCATCGTTTGGCAGTGTGTCCTTGAGTGCCGCATGCTTGACAACGACCCAAATAAGGTTTGGGTTGGCGTTGATCATGAGGAGAAAGTATAGTGGTAGGGCCTGATTGTTGTGAATTGGTGGCTGGTGGACGCCAATTTGGACGATTCCGAAAAGCCGTGGGATTTGCCGTGGGTGGTAGTGATAGGGAAGGTGGTTGAGCGGTCTGAAGAGATGTTTCTTTGTTGAGAAGTTTCTCATGAAGTTCAGCAAAAGAAATTGACGTGTCACGGGCATTAATGGCATCAATGACAGATTTATACTCATCACTTAGTCCTTCTAGAACCCGATCAATAAGATCCTCATCATCAATTGGCTTCCCTAGAAGAGCAAGTTCATCGGCACGAGTCTTTATCGCTTGCATGTATTCACTAATTGATTTTGAGCCCTTGTTACACCGCTTTAATTGTTCCTTCAATTGTTTAATATGACCACGAGATGGTTTGGCGTAGGTATTAGCTAAGGTTTGCCATGCATCAAGGGAAGTGGTGGTGCGGGCAATAAGCGGTTGCAATGAAACGGAGATGGCACCAAGGAGAGCGCTAAAAAAGAGACGATCCTGACGCTTCCAGGTTGTGTACGCCAGATTTGGAGATGTAACACCATTGACGGTGATGGTGGGTTGTGGTGGAGTTTGAGTGCCATCAATAAAGTGATGAAGATCATAACCTTCAAGAAGAGATTGGATTTGAAGGCTCCATGTGAGATAATTGGTGGATGACAATTTGGTGATATTGGAGAGATTTATTGTAAGGAGAGGATGTTGAGGATCTTGAGAATTTTGGATAGTAATAGGATCGTTGGTGGAAGAGGAAGTCGTATGGGAAGCCATTGAAGGGACTAGTGGCGTAGTTTTAGATATATGTATATGAAGGATCGTGGTGTTTTTGAACCAAAAAAAAAGGAGAAGAAAATATGCTCAGGAAGATTAGGCTCGTGATACCATGTTGAAATAGAGAGAAGAGTAATGAGAAACAATGGCTTGAGTTTTCCATTGATTAAGAGTGAATATATATACACAAAATTGGACACATAGAAATAGGAAACTAGCCTAGAGTTAGGGGATTACAACTAATTACAAGGCATAGAAATAGGAGACTAGCCTAGAGTTAGGGGATTACAACTAATTACAAGAATATTATAATTGATTACAATAATTTAAAATATAGATAAAATCTATTATAATTAATTCTCTAATACCAAATACGTATTACAATGATGTGCATATCAATGCACATTCGAGTAAAAAATTTCAAGTTGATGAATCTTATTTTATAATTTATTTTTTTAATTTTTTATTCGAGTCTAGTAGTTTGAGTTTCTGTTTATATTTAATTGTAAATGTTTATAATATTATGATATTATTTTATTCCAATTTAAATATTTTTTATAACCCATATACTATATATATATATATATATATATATATATCATATCTAATAATTATGTGTCATACAAAATTGAGGGACTCGACTCGAATTTAAAAATGAATTTACTAATTATTAAATCTTTTTTAGTTATTCGAGTTTATTTTATATTATTAGTTGATTCAAATTGATTGTATCGTAAAGTGATTTTTTTAGTCACTTCATTTTAGCGATAGCTATTGTCAATTAGAATCTATTAATAGTATTATAAAATGAAAAATAAATTATACCAAATAAAAAGTAGAATATTTAGTGGAAATAGAAAAGGAAGAGTAGAAGATAGTTGAGAATAAAAGAAGCATATGATTCCTCCACTACTTTCTCCTTACTTTGTTCAAAGCAACAGTGATTCTGATTCCGCTAACAATACCAAGTTCCATACGAACACTATAAAATTCATCAGTTTCACACTCAAAAGTGATCTAAATTCTAAACAATTTTGAATTCAATGATTGATAGACAATTACATCATTTCTTGGTGGAGGCAAGAGGTGGTGTTGCTGTTGCAGACGTCTAGAATTGTGCATTGTTCACCATTGAGACGCTCGACGGCGTTACATCTCCCACGATTGTCACCTTCGTCGCCTTGAAGTCAATGTTGAAGGACGTCACACCTTATCCAACCATTGCATAAACAAAGACTTCAACTCAACCCACAATTACAATGATTAAAACCAGAAATGATTGGTCGATGAAATGATTAATACCTTCCATTCTTGATAGATGTTTCCTCAGTTTTCCTTCACATCCTTTGCAGTGCAATGACACCCACCAATTGAAAATCGGAATATTGTTGCAGGTTAACCGAACTCGCCGAGTGGCATAAAAAATAAATCAGAAAGAGAGCGAAACTGGTCTATAGGAGCCTTCTGATTGAAAGAGGAGGAAGAGGGTTCGGAAATGATGGAACGATCTTGTGTTATAGCTTGAATCATCTTGTTTTCCTCAGCAGGAACCAATGCCCAAACTGGATCATAGTCTTGACAGAAAAACAGAATCACCCAAGAGATACCTTGAGGAACCAGGAGGGGTGACAAGATCAATCCCCTTGGCTTTCCATTCTCTTCATTACCGGTTGCCTTCAATGAACTCTTCTTAATTGAGCTCTTCTTCTTTTGGTCGTTGGACTTGGCTGAAACAGACGAACAAGTCTTTTTATGATCATTTTTCGAGTTGCTTGAAGAAGACCCTTTTCCATTGTTCCTCTGGTTGGAAGGCAAAGGATTTGTGGTGAACCGTTTAGCGTCTCGGATGATGGGATTATGGCGATCGATGGCTCGACCACCGAGTTGAATGGTGGATGCCGAGGAAGAAGACGATGAGGCTGATTCATCCATGCTTAGATATATGGATGTTGAAGCCTGGGATGCGCAGAAGATATCCATTGGTTTCAATTTCCCCCCCTTTCTCTTAGTTAGGATATTGGTAGCACTCAAGGATAACCGGTTGTTTAAACAATCTGCATAATAAGGGAGTGAAAGAGGGCAAATTCCAACAAAAAGGTTGCTGCTGCTGCTATGTTCAAAGTATTTGAGATTCGATTTGTAATGTAAAGTGAGGTATATGTATTTTCGAATTAATTTGAAAAAAAAAATTAAATATTATCAAATTCAATTCCTTTTAGAGTATTCAGTGAATCGATCAAGTTAAAATTAAGATTCGAAATAATTTTTTTGAATTATCCAACGTATAGGATTTAAAGTCAAAATTCATGGAGTTTGTGTAAAACCTTTGTGATCCATATAGGATTTAAAGTTTGAGAAAAAGAAAAGGCAAAAGGAAATTGACTATTGAGAAAGCAAAACATTAAATGATATTAGTGAGATTCTTATAGAACATATGCTGCCAGATATTTGAGTAACAAGCAACTTTGGAATTTTTTATGCATGTCAAATTTTATTATTATATATTATGAATTTAATTATTATATTTTTAAATTTTTAAATAATATAAAGATAACATTATTAAATTTTAAATAGTTGAATGATTGAAATAAAAAAATGCAATGAAGTTACAAATTACGTATAATTCAATATTCATAAGCTAATAATAGAGCCTCAGAATTTTAAAATTATTATTATATTGAACCTAGTAGGGATGGGCACGGGTGGGGCGGGCCATTTTTTGCCAGTCCCCAACCTGTAAATGTATTGTTTATACCTAACTCCGTCTCGATAATTGTTAGTTTTTCTTCCATTTGGAACCCTGTCCCGTCTCATCCCTCTAACTCTGAAAATTAAAAAAAAGCCCCCATATAATCGGATCGATTCGGAATCCGTCAAATTCGAGTATTTTAACCATCCCTATTAAATAGTCTCAGCGAATTAAGGCGAATTATTTTTTTAATAACCCAAATTAAAGTTGAGATGTTTGTCGGTGTAAGATGATACTTATGTAATTTAGAATGTTTAAAAAATATATTGTTTTTGAATCTATCAAGTTAATTTTTTTTATCAAAATTCATAACCGTAACCTTAACAGTTAACCATCATTTTTAACGGTTTAATTAATTAAAATCGTTTAATATTAACGGTTCGATTAATTAACTTGTTAAATATAACAATTATACCGGTTAATGGTTATATTTTCTTAACATCCCTATTTATTACGATTATAGTTTATTATTACAATAATTCTTCTTAATCTTATTCCATGTATATGTATATACTTGCATACAAACATATTAATTCCTAACGAAGAAATTCATAAAGAACCATTAATTCTTCTGAAAATTTTTGTACAATTAGAAATTTACCCGCATGTACTTACGATTTATTATTCAGTCTTTATAATCAATTCGAATATACTACTTTATTACAAAAATTATAAGATTAGATATAATATATATTTTAAAATCATTACAGATTCTATAAAAGCTTAAAAAAGACAATAAAAAATTTATTATAGCACAAGAAATATAAAATATTATTCATTAAATTTTATTATAGGTTAGAGGGATTATGAGAGTGTAAATTATGAGAAATATTACTTAAAAATTCTTAAAATAAAACTTGAGTTATAGTGGAAAGGTCTTATGAGATATTCATTACTTTAATGTATTACATCATTCGCTTAAGAACATATAACCAAAAACAGACGATCAATACATTCTTACATTTTGACAAAAAAGTAAGAAAAATTACATTTGTATGAATATTTTACTTCCTCTTGTTCTGGCTCCCAAACAGCAAAGTCAAGTAGAATAAAATCCTAAAGAAGAAGCCCCATGCAACAGTAACCCACACACAGTTCCATTTGCTTAACTCGGTAATCCCTTGCAGCTTAAGTATATCTTTCCCCGTCGTTAAACACGTTGAACTCGTTATATTCCTCCCCAAGATCCGCCCCATGCTCGTCAATAACTCGCTCTTCACCGGCGGTGGCAACGACCCAAGCGCCGTTTGATCGAACAGTTGAACACCCATAACATAGCATTCTGTCGGATCCAGGAACTCGTTTTGCAAAATAGCTTCGTAAGGGTACTTGATCAAGGAGATATAATGAAACCATAGCCAGTATTTGGGTAGCCGATCTCGAGCGACGAGGAAGCCACAGAGGAAGAGAAAGTAGGAGACAATGGCAATGCCACTAACAAAGGCGAGGAATACATCGGGTATAAGCCCTGAAATAAAAGCCGCGAATGAACTTCCTGCCCAAAACGCAGCGAGGATTGTGACGAAGAAGAATAAAAACCCGGTGACGCCGCCGGCGAGGCCGACGGTCCAAAACGTTATCAACGATAAGGTGAGGGCAAGGTTGAATAGTAATGGAATGTGGGTAATTGAACGAGCGAGGACATACGAGGAACGACGATAAGCGTTGTAAGCTGTTTCTCGCATGAAGATGTATCGTTCTTGAATGAAAGTGGGGACTTCGGTTATACAGTTGAAGAAGATTGTGGCGATGGAAATGGATATGCATCCTAATCGTTCTTGAACGCCAGCAGGGGAGTTATCGAGCTGCCAAAACATGGTGGCGAGGACTATTCCGGTGACTGTTATGGTTCCTAATCGGACGGCGAACTTCGCCGGCATTCGTCTCGAGTTCGTTAACAATCGTTTGGATAGTACCATCACTTCTATATAAAATGGATTGGCGAATGATGGAACTGATAATGACTGATTCACACCACCACGGGAGACTAGCTTTCCACGGGAAATGCTTTTGCCTATGGCGTCTTTAAGTGGAAGAGTAGTTCGCTTGTTGGAAGCAATATCATCATCACCGTCAGTATCATCCATTGATGATGCTTTCCAGGATTTGTTGAATTCGAATAAATTTTGGGTTACCGATGGTGTTTCTTCGAGTTCACGGATCAAGTCAAGTGCGAACTCGGATGGATTTTCGTTTCTCGGAATTGGCTGACCGAAATCACTGAAGAACCGTGAGAGATTCGCCGGTGAATCGTTGTATAATGTTCTTCCATGTGATAAGATTATCAAACGATCAATTAGTCCTAAAATTCTCGAACTTGGTTGATGAATCGCCATTATTACTATGCTTCCACTTTGTGCAATTCGTTTAAGGACCTTAACAACCATGAATGCACTTGTTGAGTCGAGACCCGAAGTTGGTTCATCTAGAAACAATAGTATCGGATCATGAATTATATCGATTCCGATCGAAACTCGCCTTCGTTCACCTCCCGAAACACCTCGATGACCTTCGTCACCGATCACTGTCTTCGCAGCATTTCTCAACCCTAGTTGATCAATCAAAGCCCGAACCCTTTCCCTTTTCTTCTTCTTGGAAACCGAGCGAGGAAGCCGGAACTCAGCGGAAAACATGAGAGTCTCTTCAACTGTTAACATCGGAAACAGAAGATCATCTTGCATAACATAAGCTGAAATCACCTTGGAGAGGCCAGAATCCAAGACCTCCCCATTCAAAGTGATGGTACCCTTGAGACTATGCTTCGAAATCCGGTTTGCAAGTGCATCGATCAGGGTCGATTTACCCGACCCGCTTGCACCCAAAATCGCCATGATCTCGCCTTCTCTTGCTTCACCTGAGATACCTTTGAGCAAGCTCTTAGTGTTAGTTTCTGAAGAAACACTGGATTTCTTCCAAAGAAAGGGGAACCCCGTTTTGCTGCTAACTTTGACGTCGTAAGTTAAGTTCTTGAAGGAAAGCACAAAAGGGTCTAAAATGGGGGATGAACTGCTCTCAACTTGAACGTCAAGGATCTGTTCATGTTCTTCTGAAGGTAATTCCTCGATCTCCATTTTTTTGCTAGGGATGGATGGATGAGTTCCGAGTTGAACATTAAGGACTCAGCCACTCAGGGGTTTACCAAAAATAATACTAGTAAAATTGAGGTTTTACGTTAATGTGGTTTACCTTTCTTGGATCCCACGTGGAAATCTTGTTCACCACCTCATACATTGTTGAGAGGTTTCCAAGCAACTTCACTTTTTGTCTTTTATTATAATTGCATTTTTATTTAGCTAATATACTTTCGTATACGAAACTTGGAGATGATAATACTTGTATATAATTTCCTAAAAAAAGTTATTTCTAATAGTATAAGATAAACAAGGGACCAATTTTAAATAGAATTTGGTGCACCAAACTTGCAAATTTTAATAGTAATTTAGTACAGTATAAGATAAACAAGGGACCTATTTTAAATATATTTCAGTACATTAAACTCCATAATTATTTTACAACTCATTTCAAATTCGTATAGCATGACGTGGTAAGGACATAGGAAAAACACTTGTGCATTTTGGTGATCGAAAGATTTGGGTTATATAGACAAGATAACCCCTGCTTTTTTGGTGATAGAAAGATTTGGGTTATATAGACAAGATAACCCCTGCTTTGCCTCTAAAAACAGATTCACTCAATGAAGCTTTCACCATGGAAGAATCTCGGTTAAAGTGTAGTTACATCTTGAAATGTTAACATTTAAGTACTTTTTAACTGTTACGGAAATAACCAAATTTGAAGTGTAATGTTCCTTTTTTGAAGCTTTTCACTCTCCTTGATGGACACACAAATTTATATTCTTTTTTTATCTCTTAGGGAAATTACCAATTTTGTTGACGGATCCAATGTACAAGGGCTAAAATGTTGTTTTTCAAAGTATAAGGACTGAAATCAATTTCATGGTATAGTAGAGGGATCTCTACAATACTTTAACCAAAGTATTAGCTGCAGCATCAATGGAGGAGTTCAGCTCTGAGTAGAAACACCAGCCATTGATAATTATACTTTTTGGTTCAATGCCAAAAATGAAGAACCGGCTTCATTGTCCGATAACTACTGTACAAGAGAGGGCCGTTCTTTCCCCCCCTCCTTTCCCTCCTACAAGAAGCAAAATTTTATGTGAAGTAAACATACTGTACAGGAGGTAACAGAGTTTTTAAATCAGATCACAGTACCATAGCCTAGTTCGTCCTCCATATCATCCCCTTCTTCGAATAGCTTTAAGAACCTAGCTTGTTCCTGTTGCCTCTTCTTCTTTTTGCCAACGTTTATGTGCCGCCACCAGTGCAGTTATTGTTACAGTTAAAACCAACATTGTAATCACTATCATCATCGCGAGTTTGGGGGGTTGCATTGGAAGCCATAACACACAGTGAATACCGATTTATCAGCATACAAGGAAAACAACTTGTACATCTGGATTTATACAGCAATACTATTTCATGACCAAAGAATAAAAACCTTACCACCGGGAAGAGATGCACATTCTACACAGTGGAACGTAGCATTAAGTTGCTTTTCTTTAAACAATATGTATTTCCCAAATGGAGCTTTAAAGTCGGAAGCACAAAACTCCCACTCGTCATATACATCATGTATTTTAATGATGTCTCGTAGAACCGACATCGCTTGCATTTCTCGGCATCCAATCGTGTCAATGGCTTAAATCACAAAGATTACACTTTTTCAGCTTTTAAAGTAACATGAAATCGAATAATACCCAAAGATTATCCCTTTTTCAGCAAATTAAAAGGGGTTTTAATATCAAATCTCTTCTAACCTGCCAAGATTCTTGACCCCTGAAAGAATAAACGACGCCGGGTAACAGCGTTTTGTTCTCTCCTTTACAAGCGAAGTAGACAGTCGGTTTCGACAGCCAACCCAGCGACCGAAATATTTCAATTGAATCCAGTGTAACCACAGACGATGAAATTACTCCTAAAGAACAGAAAGAAAGACTCTCCATTTCAAGAATTCACCTAAAAAACATGGATTTCATCTACAAAAGTTATCCAAATGCCTGCTGGGAAACAACTACACAATGTCAGTTTTCTTCTTCTTTTCTCGGGAAAGTTATTACCTGGAAAACAACCAAACAAGATCCAACAAACGACAAAAAAAAACTGAAAAAACGTAAACTATAAAAAGACGTTGAAAAATATGTCACAAAATAAAAGATAAATGTGTTGTGTAGATAGAGAATATATCATAAAAATATAATTATTTTTATTAAAAAATTAAAAAATAAAGAAAAATATAATCGACAGACGATAATTATTATTAAAATTAGTGTCATCGCCGATTAAATAAAATTAAAAAAATAGATTAACTAATAAAATTGACACATAGTAAAGAAAAAAAAAGGAAGAAAAAAAACCGCTAATTAAATATAACATTTTTAAAGTAAATAAGAATGAATTCCATTAATGTTGGCTCGCAAAGCCCAATGTTAGCGATAACGAAGCACACTTTTCTCCTATTTACAAAGGCTCATTTATATAGAAGATTCTGAAAAATGACAATAGTTTCTGCAAAATATTATTTCTATATTTTCTACGATTCAAACGCCCTAAAATATAAATTTAAATATTTTGAGGACTTAAAAATAATTTATATCTAATTAAAATTAATTATGTTTTTTTATTTTCTTTCTCTTAATATGAGTATATTTTTAAGACCTTGATTGTTTTAATTTAATTTTTTTTACCTTTTTATAAATTTGAATTAAAATATTATAAATGGTTGAAGATACTATTTGAATTATAAAGAATAAATACAATTTAATTTTTTAATCTGAATGAAGAATCGTAATCGATAATTTTTGGTAATGTTGCAAACAATTTGAGTCGTTTGATTTAAAAGGAGAAAAATTGAAAATGATGTAGGTAAAAATGACGATGATGACAAACCATATGATCTCGAATTCTCCTCCCACTGAACTTTTATAGTGACCTATAATGCTTATGGTAGGGTTATGATAATGATGAATACTCGTATGTTGACAAATTAAATGGATATTGTTGTACGACAATACATTTGACTATGACATATTACATGAATTTAACGGTAATTATATCAAAAGAGAAACTAACTGTAAAACATGAGACTTTAAAATCTACTGTACTTGAAAGTACCCTCTTAAAATTAATTGAAGGAAGAAATTCAAAAAAGATAAAAAAGAAGAAGATTTCAATTCAATAATCAACTACAATTTAACACTTGAACATAGTAGAGGACCGAAACGTAACATGTATTTTTTAAATAGTTGGTGTGACTAATATTGATTAGATTTAATGGTAAAATTATACTAAGAAATAGAATAGCAGGGAATTAAATATTAAAGGGTTGATCCCTGACTGCAGCGTCACCAGTTCACCATCTTGGCCTGCCGAGAAGGAAGAAGTAGACGGCATGTCGCATGCTTTTAAGCCCATATTGGAAAGCCCGTGCATAATTCTAAGAGAAAAGAAACCGAATAAAATACAAAAACGCCGCCGCATAGCTTTGACCTTAACCCTACTTCCGCGATACTCGCCTCCTCAGCCACTGTTTGCTCATTTTCATCCATCTTCTTCAGCTGCATCTTCACCCATATCTGTCCTTCAAAATCCCAAAACCTTAGGTAAAGGAAAAATGAATCTCCTCCGCAACGCAATCAAATCGCGCGTTTCGGTTCTAACGGTCAAGCCAACCCACGCCTTACCTTCATTCCTCCGCGAATCGCCAAGACGGTTCTCCACCGAATCGGATCAACAACAACCGCCGTCACCCGACGCTTCCGTCGATGCATTTATCGATTCCGCGAGCAAAGGTTGATCCCTTGAACGACCCTTTGTTTGTTATTTGTAGAGTTTAGGGTTTATGCAAAATATTCTCTCTCTCTCTGAAATGTATTACCCTTTTAAAACGCATATTAGGTTTTGTTTATGGGAAGCTCTTTGGAGCGACGAAGTATACAATGAAGAGCGATATAGTCAGCTTGCTTGAAGGGTGTAATCTAACGCCCGATGATATTAAAGTCAGCTACAACCGCAACTTTTTTCCTGTTGCAATGTAAACTTCTTTGTTTATTTATCTACTTATTTTGTGTTAAATGTTTAAAATTTATTTTGAAGATCACATAGTGGAAACTGGGTTTTCTTTATACTTTTCTTAAAAGTAATTGTTGAAAATTAATATCTGAGTTAGGATGTTGCGGTTCCCATCACCTGGTGCATTTAGTAATGCAACAAGGACGATTCGGAGGTTTGACCGGCTATACCGATTGGATAGGGTAAGTTCAATTTTATTGTAAATCGATCTAAAAGGGTTTGATTGATAATGCTGGATTTGAAATTTTTTTATATAACAGGTTAATACTGGTGACTGGGACATAGTTACACCATACAATGGGAAAACTGTAAGTTGAGCATTCATGTTTTATTGTACTTTTTATTGTTCAGTTTATTGGAATTTCAACATTTTGAGAAACTGCATTATCATGTTATTAGCCATATGCATAGTCAGTTTCGATAAGTGAACTTAGACATAGGACAACACAAAACTATTATATATATATTATATTGGTATAGTTGAAGTTATGAATGGACTTCTGTACTGTGGAAGGCAATCTTGATAATCTTTTCGGTTTTTACAACTAGTAATGGCATGCAAGATTCATCTCTTTTGTAATGAAATTTCCATTTACCACATTGGACCTTCAGGTTTATATTTATTTTGACCAGTGTTTGTTTAAGATTTTTGGGAGAGGTTCTACCTTAATCATTTAAGAGCCTTTTCCGTCAAATTTCCATCGTTAGGTATAAACAATATCCATCAGTTTTCAACTTGAAACATTTTTATGGCATTTTAAGACTTTTGACTTACTTAGCAAGGCTCTAATCTTATATGAGTTTGCCTAAATTTTTCAGGTGGTGCTGCAAGGACTTCCCCGGAGTGCGGGTTTTGAAGATATAGAGCGTTTCCTTTCTGGTTGTGACTATGACTCAACCTCAATCCAATCTTTTACATCAACTAGACCTGGATCTACCAACGTTTTCAGATTAACAACTGTGCAATTCACCTCCCATATCCAAGCAATGAATGCATGCATTAGCAAAAACAGAAAAGTTTGTCTCAATAATCAAGTCTCAGTCCGAGTTCTTTACTAAAAATTCGATCGTTTTGGGGTATCGCATTAAGATTGACCACCAGAATGGCAGGCTTCATGATTCAAACTGAACTATGTGATTTTTTTGCCCGTTTGATAATTATGAGACGCATTGGACTTGTTTATATATTTGCATGGATAAGTACTCTCAATGCTAGACTTCTTATTCGTTTGTTACTGAAATCATATTAGTTGGAAATAATGAAAGATTGCGCTTATCTCGTTTTGCTGGTTCTTGTTTTTTGACTTGTGTCTTGATGAGGGATTATTTTATACTTTTTTTGAAATTGGGGGGTTATTTTATAGAGAAAATAACCTTATTGACCAAAAAATGCCTTATAATATATGATTTTAACCAACTTTTTTTGGATTTGCCAAAATGACCAACTAAATCGCAATGCGATCGATAATTCGCAACGCGATCTCCGGTATTGCAAATCAGTTTCCAGATTCGCAATGCGAACTTCGACTATCGCAATGCGAACTTCGACTATCGCAATGCGAACTTCGACTATCACATTGCGATTTACATATTCGCATTGCGATAGTCCAAAATCGCAACGACTGGTGGTATTGTATTTGTTTCTTAAGAATTTTCTCTAAAAAGATAGTATTCGCGCGGACGTGTCGAAGACACGTATTACCACAACACGACTCGAGACGAGACAGACGGAGGAGGCTTGCGAGAGTGCCCCTTGTTCTCTATCACTCAACAAGGAAGTGGGAAAGCCAAGCCTTAAATACAATTCCCAATAGTGTTTCCAATACTATGTGAGATTGAGCATTACCAACACTTGTTCCCAATACTATGTGGGATTGAGTCTTAAATAGTGATATTATTTTTGAATGTTTTACTTAAAATTGCAATAATCGCGATTGATTGTAGATTGACATTTAATTATGACATATTTAATCGTATAATACTAATGCAATTGGTTGCTGATTCAGTTGTTTTAAGGTGCATGATTGTTAATTGTTTCCTGAATAATCACATTGTATTGGAAACAAGTGTTGGTAATGCTCAATCCCACATAGTATTAGAAACACTATTGAGAATGATATTTAAGGCTTGGCTTTCCCACTTCCTTGTTGAGTGATAGAGAACAAGGGGGACTCTCGCGCGCCGCCGCCGTCCGTCTCGTCTCGTCTCGTCTCGTGGTCGTGGTCGTGGTCGTGGTCGTGGTAATACGTGTCTTCGACACGTCCGCGCGAATAATATCTTTTTAGAGAAAATTCTTAAGAACCAAATGCAATACCGTCGTTGCGATTTTGGACTATCGCAACGAATTTGGAATAAATCGCAACGCGAACTTCGACTATCGCAACGAACTTGGAATAAATCGCAACGTGAACTTGGACTATCGCAATGCGAATATGTAAATCGCAATGCGATAGTCGAAGTTCGCGTTGCGAATCTGGAAACTGGTTTGCGATATCAGAGATCGCGTTGTGAATTATCGATCACATTGCGATTTAGTTGGTCATTTTGGCAAATCCAAAAAAAGTTAGTTAAAATCGTATATTATAAGACATTTTTGGTCACTGAGGTTATTTTCTCTATTTTATATGATATCATCGTTATATCATAATAGCCATTTTAACTATTTTATGGTTAAAATTGAGATGTCTTAATGATAAAAGAGGAATGTTGTTATCGTTAAAGGATCCAAATTTGAATATCTATGTCTACATGGTGTGCATTGTCAATGATGATGAAAGATTTTGTAATGATAATATCTTGTAATTATTTCATATTATTTTATGGTTAAGTCAGATCAGTTAGGTTTGGTAATGGATTAATTTGGGTTTGTATTCAAACATGGATCATACTTCTTCAAAAGTATAGACAACCGTGAGTTCATTACCTTGCGTATCAAGTTGAGTAAATCCTATAGCAACAAAAAGAGGACATTAATCTTAAGTAATGAAAAGCCTGAAAAAGCATAATTGAATGGTCTGCAAAATTAAATCTGATTCCATTGAAGAACTTGAATCGTTCAAAAGAAAGCATCATCGACCTCTTCCTCGTACATTTCTGGCACATAGCCTAATAGTCTCATATGGTCTACCAAGCAACTCAAAACATCAAGAATTGCACTCAACTCGATATTCGACTTATCTTCTGCTATAAACCTAAATAGTTCATTCTTAACTTCAATCCAGCTATACCCAGGATTGGTTTTCAGCCCTTTATCTTTCATCACTTTACGTACTCTAGATACCTGATCCCATTGCTTCGCACTAGCATATAAACTCGCCAATTGAACATGAGTCGCCGCACAACCGGGTTCTAAAAGTAACCTGCTCTCGGCAGCCTTTATCCCTATCCAAATGTTCCCATGAAGCCTGCAAGAAGAAAGCAAACAACTCCATATAACAGCATTGGGACGAATAGGCATCTTTAGAATAAAATCTAGAGCCTCTTCTACTAATCCAGCTCGACTGAGGAGATCAACAACGCATGAATAATGATCCAGTGCAGGCTCGACACTGTGTACGATCATCGAGCCAAAACAAGCACAACCTTGTTTGACAAGACCAGAGTGGCGGCATGAAGAGAGGACTCCAAGGAAAGTGATGGCATCAGGTTTTATTTTCTCCTCTTTCATCTTTTCATAAAGATCAACAGCCTCCATTGCAAGGCCATGTTGAGCATACCCTGCGATCATTGAGTTCCAAGACACTATATCTTTATTACCAGCCAACCTCTCGAATATAAATATTGCATCTTCAATGCTTCCACATTTACAATACATGGAAATAAGAGCGTTGCAAATATAAATATACGAATGGAAACCCATTTGAATGACTTGACCATGGGCACTTCTCCCTTGCCGCAAAGCTCCACTACCCGTACAAGCTCTCAAAAGACTTGTCAATGTGAAATCATTTGGTTTTAAAGTCGATTTCTTCATCATATTATATAGCTCCAAGCACATATCAATTTGCCATCCTTGTGCGAACCCAGCAATGATAGTAGTCCATGAAACTACATTCTTTACAGGCATTTCTTCGAACACCTTATAAGCACTCTCCAACTCCCCGGATTTTCCATACAAAGTAACCAAAGAAGTTCCCACATAAACGTTTCTGAAAAACCCAGTTTTCATTGCTAAGCCATGATACTGAATCCCACCGCGAAGGTTATGTTTTGTCCCACATAAGCTTATACCATTTGACAGCACAACTGGATTAAATGTTGAATCCTCTTTGTTTGTAACAGGAGCATCTAGAATTTCATTGAAGAAAATTGGGAGATTTTCTGTCGGTAAATCTGAATAACCCAATTCGACAAAACAATTTTGGGCAGTAAACTGATCTGAGTCTGTTTCTAAAAAATCTTGGATGAGACGAAGATGGTTTTGGCGGGAAGTGGAAGGGACTGGTTTCGAGGATATAATGTCTCTGATTCTCAATGCTCTGTTTAATTTCTTGCTTGTAGGATTCAGTTTTAGTTTGTGAGAAGAGAAAAAATTCGATTGAGATAGAAAGAAGAGAAGAGGTTTCCAAGTGAAGCATGGATTCCTTTGGATAACTGATTTATACATATTCATGGCCAAAACCAATCCATGAGTTCTCAACAACTCATATCTGTCAGGTTGTGGTCTAATTATGACTGAACCCGACTCCACCTGATGGATTGGAAATTTAATCCGATTTGATTTTTAAATATAATTAATTTAAACCTAATTTGACCTAATACCTGGAAGATTCATAACCAAAAATCACTACCTTAATTTGAAGATTCATAATTCAATAACGCTTCAGTCCACAAACGCTTTGTTTTGAGATTTCAACGTGGCCTACTAAAAAGATAATAATTCAGACTACAAAAGAGATGTATTTGTTGGATATAGGGATTTGGATATTGTCATGTCAAGTAAAATCGGATATAGGTTGTGTCAGGTTAAATTGATGGTTCGATTCGGATCAAGTCGGATTTGGGTTAAATTAGTTCGAAAATAATTTTCAGATTGATTTGACATCAAATTCAGTTCGGATTCGGATCGGGTTAATTTCAGTTCGGACACTTATGTATAAGTATACATATGCATAAGTTTATGTATCATATTCAGTTCTGGTTCGGATCGAGTTAATTTCAGTTCGGACACTTAAGTATAAGTATACATATATGCATATGTAAGTGTTCTGATGTCAAATCAACCTAAAAAATGACCTGAATTGAGTTGATATGGAGTCGACCTGATCCGAGTCGAATCATCAAATTGACCTGACCCAACATGTATTCGATTTTACCTGATCTGACAATATTCAACTGAAACATGAATGATTATTTAATTTCACTTCCTACAATATAGTTGGCTATGTAAGGTGCAAAGAGCTGTAACGTAGATTCACGGGACTCATCTCTGCCTTTGTTAAGAAAGTAGCATCGTACTCGAATTCATCTTCCTCTCTATCTCCGTGTAAACAGAACCAGAACACATTGATTGTGCTCGTAGTGCCATGGATCCAAGGCACCACTAAGGCACTAACGATCTGATTGAGTTATCCATCTCTTGAATCGATGTATTGCGAGTCTCGATGCAAACATCCGGCAATGGGGCGGCTGCATCCCTCACGAGTGAGAGGACTGTGATGTTTAGTGGCCGATCGGCTTCCAGCATAAAGTGTTCTCAGCATTTCAAATGATGGCTTACCGCTACTTCTTCTCAGTGAAGCAACTGAATCAAATCTTGTTTACCATGTTTGTCACGGTTCAAGGCCAGCGTTTCTCCTCCATTTACACTCTCAACTAGATCATATTCTTTGCTAATATCAACATGGACAAAAGATTTTGTGCTAGGGACGAATTTAAACTTTTAAAATTTTAAGGAGAGCAAACTTTAACTTATAAAATTTAAGAGGGTTAAAAACATATTTTTAATAGAAAAATACATAGAATAATATAAAATATATTATAATTTTAAAATTTCAAAGATGATTGCCCACCATCTACCTCGGTCCATCAACACAATCAATTAAAAATAATAAAAATTTCAAAGCGAAAAAACAAAAACACATTATCAAATATGAAGATCAACAAGTATTCGATCATAACCCAAATATGAAATCTAAAATAAATTACCTTATCATCAAATCTGGCTTTATTTAATTATATCATACTAGTCCATTGTTGATATAGTATACTTTCTTTTCGATGTAAGATAATGTTACTAATCATGTTTACATTGACATACGTAAGATTTTATATTATGAAGAATTTTTAAAATTTTAGGAGAAAGAAACTTATAAAATTCTGTGAACAAAAATATATCATCATTAAAAAAAGAAAAAACTCTAAAATGTATAATAATTTGAATATATATATATATATATAGAGAGAGAGGATCTTATTAGAAAGTGTAAAACTTTTTAATTTTACACAGATTTAGGACCGTTACATGAGTGAAAATAAATGGATAAAATTACCAGTACGAAACGAGAAGATATTTATCGTAAAAACTAATGAGTTAATTTCATTCTTTTATTTTCACTCATCCTACGGTACAAAATTTGTATAAAATCTATAAAAAAAAAAAAACTTATACTATATAAGTGAATCCTAACCTCTCCCTCTCCAAGAAGACTCTTAATAAGATAGTTGAATTTCAGCATACGCTTGTATACATTTTAGAGGTATAATTTAGCTTCCACGGGCATCAACTTCTCATTCACAATCCAAATGTGTACTTTGGTTTGACGAGGGCATTTTCAGTTTGGTAATGTTTTTAAAAATTTTGGTTAAGAAAATAATTTTCAAAAGCGATTCTAGAAAATGTCGAGCTGTTTTATTAACAGTGAGTTTGTTATAATAAAACGTGAAGATAAATTGCTTCTACCTCTTTACAATTATGTACAACTTTAAGCTGAAGCTATCGATACTTTGCGAAATGGAAATAAGTTCCTATTAATATGGCGATGATCTCGGACATGACCGAAATGTATCATTTTGATTTCAAAGCGGTATACAAAGTTTTAAGTTTTTGAAAAATATTATCGATACATTTATTCTTTCTTTTTTTGATAAAATACATTTCAATCAATATAACTTGGTATAAGATTCTAAAGACAAAAACTGAATTTTGATTTAAACAGTAATTTCATGAGATGAATGTACCTAAAAACTAAAAATTAAACTATAATGCATACTTACACCATGTAATAAAGATATACTTGCATATATATAATCTTTTATCAGAAAACTATAAACTAAATTATAATACTTATGAATTAAAAACATTATAAACCGAGTTAATGTCGATCAGAAATTTAAAGTAAATACTGTTAGATTTTGTGACCCCCTCAATGTTCAACCGGTCTTCCGTACAAAAATTTCAAACCAAAAAACAAATTCCAAAGAAGCTAATTACTGTCGACTAGTTACTAACACTTCAACTCTACACGAGAAAAAGAAGAGTTACATAAACCATAAAACAAACTCAGGAAACATAAACAAGCTTCATTCCCGAAATAATTACCTTGCAGGATTGATCGGCCAAATTCACCTGGTGAGACCAAAGGGATGATGCTAGCAATCACCTTAAACCTAGGTAGTGCCAGTTATCTCAAGTACCAGAAAAAGAAGAAATTCTTAAGTAAAGGACTCGGAAAAAGTGTTGGACTTTTGATCAAGTAATCTCATCAATGATTGAAAATGTTCCCCACATTTAATCTTTTATAAAATCTATTCCCAGTTTTCAATATACCTCTCATGATCAAATGCTGAACAGCAGTAGTACCATATCCACAACAGCATTGTGTTGATCTTTTCTCGTAGAAAGATAATTAACTAATAAAGTCGGATTAATTCCATTTGAGCCATGAGTATCATGCAAACATATGAATACAAACCTGCAAATGTGTGCATTAGTAAATATGCATGTCCATACACATATCCAACAAATTAATCTATTTCTGTTTATGACAACATTCTGTGATTAAATGAACAAAAAATGATCTAAACATAAGCCTCTCACAAATTCCCTCAATCAAGCTTTTCTAATCACTTTTTAATGTAAACACAGAAAAAGTCATCCTTGTTTTGCTCAAATCGAAGGCATTTATGTTTATCGTTTGTCCTACACAGCTAAAGCCCCACTCCACAAAAAAAAAAGAACGAAAGACCTAAGACCCTATCACTAACATATAAAAACCAACGCTATTTATGAAAAAGATAGAAGAGTCACAAGAATTCTCATGAAGCATGCATTATCTACTACTTCAGGTTCTTTATCCCATAGAAACAGACAAACTCAATATGAATACTACTGCTGTCTCACACTTGGTCATAATATTTAACTGGTCGAGTATAAGATGCTCTACCGAAATATCACCATGGCAAGGGAACAAATCAATCATTGAAGAAATTTACTTACTCCATGCTTTCTCAACTACTTAACAAAAGAGAAACGTTGAAATTTTCTAGCCCCCTACACCAGAATTTTTAATGCTCTTTGTACGATTTGAGATAGGTTAACACAAGGTGATAGTTGATTCCCCTAAAGGATGAAGGAGTTCTGCATGTACGAATTCTGAGGTTGGAAGGAAAACATTGTAAAAGAAGCTGCTGAGGGAATCACAAAATGTTAGGACACTACTAGACCTGAAAAGAAAAGACAATGCAAAGAATAAGAAATTGAAAGGATCTACTTAAACAACTATACTTGAGAATATAGCTGTATGTATATGGAAGATTAAAGCAATGTATATCTCCAAAGTCACCTTCTAACTATGTATGAAACTTGTATTCAAGGTCCTCCACCAGCCTTTCCAGCAATAGGAGCCTCCTGCCAAAAATTGGTAGAGAAATCAATATATTATATAGTACCCTATAAACCCTTGATGTTCTCCTATATGATCAATCTTCCAGATAAACAATTAATGCCTTACTGGTTCAATATTTCCCTTGCCATTCGCCTGTGATGAAGTATTTGATGGAGGATTAGAAAACCTAGAAAGGCCAGATAAAATCAAAGTTCAATAATAATTTCATAAAGATTTCTAAAGAGGCATTTATGTATATAGGGAAACTGCTTTTCAGCATAGCAACATACCTGAGTGCCCTCGCTTTTCGTTTTTCCTCTTCTACATTATCCAGTTTAGATTTTGGTGCGAATCTGGCAAAACGTGCTTTCTTTTTGGCCTCCTCATCAGCAGCCATAGAGGGTACAGAGAGCCCAAATCTGAGGAACCACAATAGAAATAACAAACTGAATAAATGCAACTGCAATCCATATATTCACCGGGTAAGGTGGTATAGGAAAAACCTCTCTGCTCTGGCTTTCCTCTTCAGGTCCTCTGATTGTTTAGATGCTTCTGATCCATTCGTGCCGGGTGCAGCACCAAACCTGCAACATGATTTCCAAACTCAACAAACTAGAAACACAAAAGGAAAAAAAAAGTGAAGAAATGAAGTTCAACACTCACAACTACAGCTTTACCATCAACAGTAACCCTTCAAGTGCAGCATTTTAAGGAGCCACAAATTCTCTCTCTAATCATATAAAACTAAGTAAGAATCACCTTACCTTGCCAAGTTATCCCAGCCAAACAGCATGCTTAGAAAACAGGTTAGACTATGATGGATTAGACCTATGTTACCAGAATTCACCATCTCCTCGGCAATTTTCAAATAAGTAAGACGAGTGATCCCAATAACATATAGTTTCTCATAAAAATTATTGAGTAAAACAAACAATTAACAAAGTTCATAATTTATTTATTTACAATTACGTATTTATATAAACATAAAACCTATATATGCAATGTAAGTTTTAAAAATCATTTTGCATTCCAATAAATGTGTTCCTTCTGTACAAACCACAGAAGACTGCCCCTATAAAATTAGGTTTCACATAAGATTGGGTTAGACTCAGTTAGACTCATCTTTAGGAAACCACTGAATAAGTTGATTAAATCTAAGACAATATAATTTTGACAATTACGAGCTGAGGAGAGATTCTAAACAATACTGAACGTTAAAATACATGGTGAATGAATTCAATAGAAATAATCTATGCTTCTCCGCACATCAAAAACCAAGCATGGCATTCAAAGAAAATGATGAAAATAGACGTTTACAGAAACCAAATCAACAAAAAATAATCAATTTCTTCTCTTGCCCATGGAAAATCTCATATACTAGGTATACACCTAAAAAAAAACTAAATACCCGATAAACCCCAAATTTTACGTACGGAGATAGGGGAAATAAAAGCAGTTACCTCTCAGCCCTAGAATTACGCTTCTCTTGCTCAGACAACTGAACCGGTACGCCGAACCGCTCAGCTCGACGAATCTTCTTCTGGATATCGTTAACGGGACCGTTTCCACCCCCAGCGACCGAGCTCAAAATAGTTCCGCTGGTCTGCGAACCACCGTTCTCCTTAAGAGATGCTTCAGAAGCGGGAGTATCAGAGCTAGGAGGATCTAACTTGTCCGTGGAAGGTGGAGCAGGGTCCACGATCTGCTTAGAGTTCGGTTCAGCCGATGAATAGACGAAGGATGCTGGAGGGGCGGTGGTGCTTGCGGTGGCGACGGTTTTATCAGCGGTTGTTGCCATCGGAAATGGTAGGTATGGTTGCGTGAAGAATACGAACCGAAGACTAAGAGAACGATGCGAGGAGCACTTTTTCTTTTACGCGCTGGTTAAGAACTCGTGTCGGTAGGAAAGGAATAATAAGGGCGTGAATAGGGATGGGCACTCCGCCGTGTGATCGGGTCAGATTATTTTAAAAAATTAGTTTTGAATTGGGTTGAATTTTTTAAGTTTATTATTCGGGTAGTATCGGGTTCGGGTTTAGGTGAAAAATATCTGATTCAACTTAAAAAATATATAATTTTATTTTATATATTTAAGAATAATTATAATAATATCCCTCTATATATAATTTTTTTCAATTAAGTCATTGTTTTTATTGAATAAAAATAATTTTTTTATTATTTCGGATCGAATCGATTTTCTAAGTCATATATTCGGGTCAGGTCGGGTGAAATATTATTTTGATCGGGTCAGGTCAGGTCTCAGGTGGAGGCTCTCTTGTTCTCGGGTCAGATCGGATTAACAAAAACCCAACCTGACCCATATTCATCCCTGAAGGTTTTTTCTCTTTCGGGTTATTTCCGTAAAATGGTACAATTTTTAAATTAATATTTAAATTTAACTTAGATTTATTATTGTCCCTAAAATATATCATCCGGGCCAAGTGATCTTCGAGTATATTTTTACACGTTTTGTCATTTTAACTTTAAATTGTTATTATGTTTATACCCAAATATAAATTCCTTTAAAAAAAATTAATGACTAATTAAAAAACGTCAGGTCACTCTTTAATTTTTATTTTCTTTTTAATATAAATAAGTAAAATAAAAATAAAGTACATAAATAATCACTTTCATTTGAATTTTATAAATTGTTACTCGTTAAATTAAAATAATACATAATATTTGATCACTTTTATTATTTTTTAATTAAGATATGATCACTTAAGATTAATTGTCCTTAAACATTTAATAGTTTATTAACGTGACACGACAAATATATAAATTAAAATTACATCATTTCCAAGTGGTTAATACATATATTAAGTTTTCGTCACTTTCCATTCATATTTGTACATTATTGTTCACTAAGTTTTTTTTGAAAAAAAAAACAGATTTGGTCACTTAAGTTATCGTTTTATTAAGTTTTGATCACTTACGTTATCGTTTTATTAAGTTTTAGTCACTTGGACGTTAAATGTCGTTAGTTTGATGATGTTGATCGTTAATAAAAGGTTTAATTTTTATTTTAACCTCTACACTTTAGACAAAAATGTTGATTATGGTTTTTTTGTAAATTCAAATTAGTTTAGGGACAACATTTCAATTTAGGGTGTTCATCTCTGTCTTCTTTTAATGTCTTTGTAGTATTTTCCATGACTTCTACTTTTTATACGTTTCTGTTATTGGTATTTATGAAAGATTAGAACTGAGCTTGCTATCGTTGACTTCTGTGTATCATTCTCCTCATGTTTCATCTTTTAAATTTAGCAGGGGTCTTATGTTTCTGTCTATATGCAGAGATTGCATGGATTATTATGCAGGGATTAATTCCCGTTACAGACGCACATATGATTTTAATGACTACATATGAATACTGTTTAGCTATGTATTTATGTATTTATTTATATATGCATTGAATTTTATCTATATTTTAAATTTTCTGACTGCCGGAGGTCTTCCACGGAAGCTACTCTCAACGTGGCGTTGGGGGCAGCCTACTACCCTACCTCCCCTTACCCCATACATATGGGAATTGGGTTTTGTTGTTGTTGTTGTTGTATTTCAATTTATTTATTTTTAATAGGTTTTCAAACCAACCCCATTGTTGTTCGTCATCTCCCTACTTCTTCTTCAGACATTGTTGTTCCATTGCTTCATTTGCCTTCTTTCAAGTACTCATGCTGCATTTCAAGAATAATGCAAGATTTTCTACTTTCGATAACAAATAATAACACTATAAGTTCATAGAAAGATAAAAGGGTAGGCATTTAAAGATAAAATGAAGATTAATAATCTCAGTTATACAAATTAAAATTCAATTTCCAAATATTGAAATTGCAGAATGTCAAATCCAATAAGGAACAATAAGACAAATCAATGGATCCAAATAACCCGATAATCGAATATCACTCTTTATGGCGATTTTCCATTGAGAAAGCGCATCCGATGAAACATAATCAATAGATCTAAACAACTCAATAAATGGATCTATGAATTCATCCATTGAACTCAATTTAAAATCCATGATATTCAAACCTCGAATCTTTGTTTCTGCTCAACAACAAGCAATTTTTTCGATTCTAGATCCTTATAAACAATGTTCGCCTTATGAATCATCGTTAATCCCACGGCCTGTGCGATCTGTCGCACCACCGCCACAGTGTCGGCATTCGAGTATCTCACTTTTGTGATGTATCGATTGAACAACTCACCATTAGAGTAGAGCTCCAGTACTACATGAACGTCATTTTGATATTCGTAAACATGGTGGAGGTCAATCACTTTCAGATGGGACAAAACATTCTCAACGATCTTTCGCATCACAGGGATTTCGTTGGTCAACAACGCATCGGAGATGAAAACCTAGTATTATGTCGTCAATAACGCCATCATTGAAGAAGCTATAGTTTTCCTGGCTCGAGGCGGCAACGACGTCGTGGTGGTGAATCTTTTCAGAGTTTATTCTCTTCATTTTTCACGATCTTCATTACTTCTTTTATACTTTTTCTTACAACTAAGAACTCGCATAATTTGACTTCAAATAATTACAACAAATAATTAAAATAAGAAGGCTATTGCAATGAAGCAAAAATGTCTAAAGAAGAAGCGATTAGAAGATTAGTAATACTAGGGGTTAGGGAGAAAAAATATTAAAAATGAGTAAATGGAAATGTTGTCTCTAAACTAATCTGAATTTTCAAAAAGAGTCATAATCAATATTTCATATAATGTTGAGGGGTTAAAATAAAAAATTAAACTATTTTATTAACGGGTCACATCATCAAACTAACGACATTCAACATCTATGTGACCAAAACTTATGTTTTTTTTGAATTTGGTGAGTAAAAGTGTACAACATAAAATGTGGAAACGGAGCGTCGGACAGAAGTGGATGGCGACGGAGGAGATCAAGAGACGACGATGACGGGTGAGAGAGAGGCGAGGGAGACAGTTAACCTTTGATAATTGATATATATACTTTTTAAAATATTTTCAAATTTTTATTAACATATATCAGGCATACTCATATAACACATATACATGTTAGAAAAACATACTTATCATACGTATGATTAATAATTTCCTTTATGCAAAATTGCAAATTAATTAAAATTTTAAAAAATAAAAACATTATTATAAAAAATCATTGTTTTAAATTTAAAATATGTTGATATATGTTAGTACAATTATGAATATGTGGGGAGCGACGATGACCATTTATACATTTAAACTTTCTATTTAATGACTAATGAGTACGTACTTTAAAATTATATATATATACACACATTAAATAATGTGGATTGAATTGTAAATATATAATGTTAACATTTATCATTAATGTATATTTGGATGGCAATTTTTATTTTATTCCTTTTCAAATATTTTACTTATCAAGATTTTATTTTTGGTCAACATTAATCTTTTTAAATAAAAATTAGTAGTTGATATAGCACATCAATGTACGTTTGCAAGGCCTTACGAATAGTCCTTATAATTGTTCAAAATATGATTAAATATGTGTATTGATGTGAATAACTTATGATGTTTCTTAATTATACTTAAATGAAAAATTTTAAGTCTCGATTAATTCGATAAGAATATTCTATGTATGTTTTGATGATATGATTGTATAATAATGAATTCATTTTTAATATGCCTACATGTATGATATAAAAGTGTATAACATTTATTGTGATGGTTGATATGTATATAAAATTAAAAATGTATTAGCTTTGTTAATTCAATTATATGAGCATGATTAATTTGCTTTATACATTTATATATGTATATATATAATCTATTGATGAATTAATCCAGTTCACGCTTTATAAAAATCCATTATATACATACAATATATGATATATGCTTTATGCATATATGTTAATAATATACACTTTTAAAAATATTTTTAAATTTTTTCTAACACGTTTTAATTATACTCATATAACACATATAAACGTTAGAAAAAATATACTTATCATACGTATGATTAATATTTTCCTTTCTGCAAAATTGTAAATTAATTGAAATTTTATTAACACTATTAAAATAATAAAAAAATAAAAACATCATATGGAAAAACACTATTTTAAATTTAAAATATGTTGATACATGTTTGTATGAATATGAGGGGAGCGATGAAAGGGTATATCTTGCCTCGTTCTAAGATGGTGAATGCGGATCTCGGCAGGATTATCAATTCGGATGAGGTGCAGTCCGTGGTAAAGCCGATCAAGAAGGAGAACAAGAGGGCACCATTGAAGAAGAATCCTCTCAAGAACTTGAATGCCATGTTGAAGCTGAACCCATACGCAAAGACTGCTAAGAGGATGGCTATTTTGGCCGAGGCACAACGTGTTAAGTCTAAGAAGGAGAAGCTTGACAATAAGAGGAAACCCATTTCTAAGGTATATCAATTCTTCTTTGATTTAGTATTGGTCGTTATTGGGTTTCGGAATGATGATAATTGCAATTTTCTATTCCATGGACATGTCATTGGAATTATATGTTCTACCTGATGTTTAATGTCTTTGGCTGGTTCGTCTCATTAATTTGATTGGTATTATTATATGAGTAATGGAGCCGGATTGCTTATTATTACTTAATAATTCGTTGCTTAATTGCTACTTTTATGGAATATATATCTTGCATTTGAGGGTCATAATTTATTTGGAAGACTAGCTTAGACCTGTCCTTGAATACTTCTCCATGTTTGTCATTCGGTATGATTTTGTTGAAGAACATAATAGAAGGCTCGGTATCTGCAATTTGGTTTTATTTGAGCCAGTTTGTTCTGTCATATATTAGATAAGTGCTATGCATTAATGATTCCATCTTTTGTTGATTCATATTGGAATTAAGTTGACTTAAAAGTGGCCATCCCTTATGGTTCGCTTGACTTTGTGCTTTTAAAATTATGATGAGAATTATTTGCATCTTTATAAGATTTTAACCACATGATGCCAGTTTTTACAGTCCCACGCTGGCCTGATTGTCATTTTAATCTATTTCTGATCTGGAATTCCATTTTATTCACCATCAACCTTGAGGAAAAAACTAGTATTATGATAATAGCCTGCATTTATTTCTCTAACGGATGGCTGCTATGACTTTTTTCAGAAGTTGCATTCCAAAAATGTCTATCAAATGCTCAGACAGTGACTACACAGTGGTTAGGGGTGTTGCAGTAATCTAGTTTTTTAGCTTTAGAAATTATGGGTTCAAAACGTTTTTACTGATTTAGTAAATGATTAGCAGAACATTTCTAATTTTAATGGTAATTTTTTAATACAAAAAGTTTTTTTTCTTTGTTAAACGAAGATGATTACAACGGTTATAAATGATTTTAATCATTTGACAATGAATGTTCAATCATTATGTTGTTGTTGCTGGTAATCAAATCTATGTTCTAATTACGAGTATCTAGATTCGTTCATGCGTATACCAAATTGTAAAATCTGATATTTTTAGTTTGTTATGTTTTTTTAACACCATTGTAATTATTTTGTTGAAAATTTTAAAAATAAACATCTACTGTAATTATTTCCTTTTTTATTATAGGTTTTAATAATGGATTAATAATTATTATAATTAATAAAATAGCCTAATTAAATTTTTTCATAATAATTTTATTCCATATATTTTTTTATTAAGCTAATGTGATTACAAAACTGTTCTAAATACTCTCAATTATTTAACAATGAACGCTCAATCACCCGTTGCGGCTGGTGCTCAAACCCGTATCCTCTAAGAACAACAATGATTCCTTTAACTACTGAGAGGTAAATTGATTATTGCCAATTTTATATACTTTTAAATTGTTAATATTTTTATTTTTATAATAACATTTATTATCATCTGAAAAAATCAAATATGTTCTCTATTGAAATAGTGCTGTGTTAATAACTCTTTGATCGGGAATAAATAGAGATAAAAAATTATAAATAAAATATAACAAAAATATCATAATAATTATTTATAAATTTAATCGATAATCGATTTAATCTATGGCACTAACTAATTAATTTTAAGATAGAAGGTAAAAACCAAAACGAACGGTGTTGATAAATCTCAGTGTCTCATCTGAGTCGTCTCCTCTTTCCTCTCTTCTCCAGCGTCCGATCTTCTCTCTTTATTCCTCGTAATCCAGTCTCCCTCTCTCCCGCCCTTTTCCTTTTCATTTTATATTCCCACTAAGGTTAATTTTCCCTTTATAACCTTTTTTATGTCAATCGATTCTGAAATAAAAATGATTTAATTATCTATTATGAATTTTGTGGATTTGCTCCAGCTAGGGTTTCCGCTATGGCGGAGGCACAAGCCAGTTCCGGCGGAGGAAGTCAGGATAGCGGCGAGCAAAGTCCGAAGTCCAACGTGCGAGAACAGGATAGGTATCTTCCCATCGCTAACATCAGCCGTATCACGAAGAAGGCTCTTCCTGCCAACGGCAAGATCGCTAAAGATGCTAAAGAGACTGCAAGAGTGCGTCTCTGAGTTTATCAGCTTCATCACTAGCGAGTATGATTCTCACATATATTGTTCTTCTTTCTTTCAATTATTGATTCATTTAGATTTCTATTTTTTTGAACCAAATTCTGGATTAATTTAGATTTCTATTATGGTCTTGAGAATTGCTTTTGTTGAATTTATTAACTCTTTCATTCCTTAATGAAATTCGAGATGTAGTCCTTATACAACTTATCTTTTATATTTAAAAAGTTTAGTTCAATCATGGATAGGTTATTATTTTTCATCGAAGGCATCGGTTCAATACACTCGTGTAACTATAGTTACCTCAGAATAAATCATTATGAACTCAGTAAGTATGTCATTATAGTAAAATAAATTTTGACCGAAAATATTAAATGCGCCAACAATTAGACTATAATTTTAATATTGTAAAGGTATGGAAACTATGCTGAATGAAACAGCAAAACACTGCTGAATGATTCAACATTAAAGTACATTCTAAATCATTGAGCATCCGATATTTTACCATAATACTTATTTTTTCACATGTTGTCTTATTAAACAATCATATCTTATAATATAATAAATCATTATGAAGGTAAAAATGAAAATATTTATAATTCAGATTGTATATTTAGAATCATTATCAAACATCGTGTCACATTCAGTGTCAATTCATATTGAGCCTTTGAATCATTCAGGCCATTGAATTATTCAATGCTTAATCATTTTATTTCATCAAACAACCCCTAAATTTTAAATTTTATCGTAGTACATATTTTGACCTAAGAAATCTAGTGACACATGAAGATTGATCATGAATTAATGTGCAGAGCCAGTGACAAATGTCAAAAGAGAAAAGGAAGACAATTAATGGGGATGATCTGCTGTGGGCTATGGCAGCTTTAGGGTTTGAAGATTACATTGATCCACTTAAGATTTACCTTACCAGATACAGAGAGGTGATTATTTCAAAACTGTTATTTGTTAAGTCATTCATTTTTCTTGCTTATGATTCATTTGTTGATAGCAAAAGGAGGGAAAAAAGAGTAGTTGTTTTGGATCTTAAACTTTGTGAGGCTTTCATCTAACCTAAATGAAAAGGGTTAACTTATTATCCAATATGTTGGTTGGTGGAAGAGTCCAATAACGTAACAAACAACTGCTTGTATACTTAAGTAGTTGTGTTAACCGAGTAAATCACTAGCATTTTCCTTATATGTAGTTTAATGGGCATGTGACAAACTAACAATCACATACATAATACATCTGTAACCAAAAGTTACTGATTTTTAAATAGTTTGGGTTGGCTTCTATTATCTGCTTATAATGGATTACTTTTCAAGTTGTACTAAACTGTTTGATTTTTTCCTCCGGTGGTGTTCATTGTTGATTGGGTCATTTGCAGATGGAGGTGAGTTTATTCCATCATCTTCAAATCATGTCACTGGTTGGATATTTTATGGATTTGTATATGATGCACAGAAACGGTAGAAGTTCATAACTATTAACAAATTAGATGATAACATAACACATTGTAAAAGTATTTTAAAAATAAATCCACTTAGCTTCATTTTTCAATGATGTGCACCATCTAGTTTACTGACAATGTAGAATTATACAATGTAAATTCATCAAATGTAAACCCGTATCTTATTGCCTCACTCGTCTCCTCCAAGTTACCTCTCTGATATGGCTTTGACCTTGTGAACTATGTTGTTTGACAGGGTGATACCAAGGGTTCAGCCAAAGGTGGAGATGCATTAGCTAAGAAAGATGTCCAACCTAACCCAAATGGCCAGGTAGAATATCAGTTTTTTCTCTCTCTTATATTTTAGTTTTTAGACTCTTAGTTACCATGCATCACACTTTTCGTATGCCTTTTTTAACTTTAAATAGTTAGTTCATGCCTACAGAAAGGAATGCCATCTTTTTCTCTAATCTTTACGGTAATTAATCTGGCAGCTCACTCATCAAGGTTCATTCTCACAAGGCATTAATTATGGAAATTCTCAAGTAATCCCCCTCTCCCTTTCTCTGCATCTTGGAACATTTCATGCATTAACAAACTAATGTGTCCTTGCATATTTCCATGTCTTTGTAATGATCTTCAATCCATGGCCAAAAAAATAAAGTTCTTTTATTATGGTTACACCGCCTCTTTTCTTTGGTTCTAGTATTTCATACGGCAACTTATGGTGGTCAACAATCATAACTCAACCTTTCAATGTTCAAGTGGACGTAGCTTTAATTAGTTAAATCCTTGTCCCAAATCCTGGTTTAAATAAAAAATAATTTAATGAGTTTATCTATCATCACATTTAAACATTGATGTGAAGGATCTGTCTTTTATTGTAATTGTTATTGTCAAATCTCTATGTAAAGTACCCATGCTATTGTGGTGATAGTCACCTTGAAAATAAACTGGTAGCAATATCTGGTTACTATTTGGGCAAGCTGGTTGTTGGCCTATTACTTATTTCTTAAAGGAAATGGAGCTTAAGCTGATTATGATACCTAGTATGATACATATTCATCTTTTTTACTTCTTCTAATCAATTATACAATGCCAAGCATTTTAATGTCAAAAATCAAGATCATTCTCTATTTTTCCTTGAAAAAACAAATTAATTGTTTCATCTCCCCTATGAATTCTTAAGCATTGGGCATATTTCGCATTTGCACGTACTCTTAAGGCTATCACTAATAGATGGTGGCTGGATTTTTTCATTTCATAACTACCGGCAGTGGTTGGGCGCATCATCTTCAATCGTTTACATTCATATCATTAAAATATTAGAGGATGAACAAGATTTTTGTTTGGTTATAATATCTTATGACTTCTGTTGTCGCAGGCCCATATGATGGTTCCGATGCAAGACAATGAGTAGAGATCCACACTTCTCGAGCCAATTCCATTCAATGTCGTGTTCCAATGCTCTGCTGCACATAGTATGAAGATAAAACATCTGATGTGAAAACTGAAATTTTGGATGGTTCGCGTCCTCATATCTGTTAAACTGTTATTTTTTAGTAATATGTATGTAATTATTGATTTTGTGTTTTTTAGAATGGATTAACTTTCAAAGAATTGAGTTAAATCTAGGGAGGTTATCTTTTATTTAAGCTCCTCTTTGGGAGGACATAATATTATCGTAGGACATTGCTTAGGGAACTTATGTTTCTATTCATCCTACGTTGAAACGGCTTTGAAAAATGCGAAGGCAAATGGTCCAATACGATTTTATTTCATCATTGACTGCTACCGTCAATTAATTCTATTCCTTTTTTCTTCTCTTATACGGTGATTCGATTTGATGATTGATCGATTCTTAGATTCTATTTTATTAGTAGATTAGCGTCCAGGACTTCCAGGTTTCCCCCGTCATCCTTGAATTGAATAGATTTATAAAGAATGACATCCAACCTGAAACGAGCTACACAATTACATTCACATTAAAGAAGTAAATAGGGCATCTCAATTTTTTCATTTTTCTTTTTTTCTGAATAGAAAGTGGCCTTGTTAAACCCCCTTCATATTCGATAGGTGCCAAAACAATTCACCGAAGAGTGAAATGAGGAAAAAAGTGCCCAACTTTATAATAAAATAAGGTCAAAAGACGGTGTTCAACACCAAAGACAAGTCCTTTGAAATCTAACTGTACCAAGAGCCTATCTTATCCAGTATACTAAGGGCAAGTACCCACTTTAAGAGCACGGCCAGCCTTGTTTAAGAAAAAACACAAACTACCAGAACCGGATACAAAAGCTGTAAGAGTTCTTGAACGCTTACTCCAGGTTAAAACCTCAACCGATTCCTTTTTTTTGCCAATAAATCTGCTTCAATGTTCAGGACCCTTGGAATATGTCTGATCACGTCCTAACCTTCTGATAGTAATCTATGATGAAACTAACCTCATTGCCATAAAGCGGAGGTAACTTTGCCGAAGGCGATAGCCAATCCCCGACAGTTTCTGAATCGCTTCCCAAGATCAAATTGTACTTCTTAAACCAGGCAGACTCCATGAAGATGCAAATACCCATTTTGATTGCGAGTTCCATCAAGCACACCGAGAAAAGGAGAGCAGAGATTTGCCTTCTTTTATTCTATTGATAGATCGCCTTTGTTGATATCAGTCATTATGTATTGTTTTGGTCCTAGTTCGATATCAAATACTATTTTTTGTTGGATAAACTTATATTGCTGAATACAAGTCTGCATCGCTTGTTGGATAAAATACTCGTTTTCGATAATTATCAAGTTACAATGAATCGTATCATACTAGACGCATATTCGAGCTAGGGAAATCCAGGCTAAATAGTAAACGATGAAAGTCATAGCATGAGCAAGAGAGTACAGATGGAAAGAGCAAATAAAGCAATAAAATGCTCATAGTTTGATTTTAGGAACCAACAAAAGACAAAAGAGACGTCCTAACTTATGATCTAGGCTTCTACTTCTCTTTGAAGAGGGCCAATAGAGAAACACGCAAGACCTTCACAACCTTGAACCTAACTCCAGGAATATCACCAACGGCATGACCCTTTCGCCCGAATCCTGCAATCAACAGCTCATCCTACAGAAGCCAATATATTATCATCAAAAGAGTACCAGAAACCGAGATCATACAATTTCAATCACTACTTACATTCTCTTCAACGTAGTTTAAGCAACCATAGTTCGGGACAAAAGCGGCAGTCATCTTCCCGTTCTTGATCAATTGAACTCTAGCACACTTTCCGATAGCAGAGTTGGGCTGCTTGGCCTCTATGCCTCTGGGTATTATTAGAAAGCCATTAGTTCAAGTAGATTTGAACGAAAGAGAAGAAACACGGAAATGAAAAGAGAAAGGTCTTGCTGCATCTTCTCAAGGACAATGCCTTTGGCATGAGAAGATCCAGCAAATGGCTTCTTCCATTCATTTCCGAGATTGGAATTTTTGTGTGCCTTATCGGCCAATCGCTGCCTCCTGCGATGGGTCTTCAGCTTGCGTCCGGCTCCCATAGCACATGTCTTGGGAATTTTGTTGTGCGGCACCTTAAAAATGGCTAAAAAACAGCGTGACTTATTAAATAAATGATCGGTTAAAATTTAGATCAATTATGTTATATCATTTAACCGGAAATATTATCAAGTACAATAATATATTAAGTAGCACTTATATAATGTAATAGGTAGCGCTTATATTGACCTATTTTCTAACTAAATATGTATATTTAAACCGGTAACATTGTAAATTTACCTATTACATTATAATTATCGGTTTTGATGTTTTTGGGATTAATACAATTTTAAATATATCGACACTTTATGCGTGCACCTCGTTGTGCTTTCATTTTGAGAAAAAAATATCGACACATATTTAAAGAGTGTCGATATATAATGTAAACTTATTTGCTAATTAACCAGTATATTTTTACCGGTTACATTGTAAATTTACCTGTTACATAATAATTATCGATTTCGATGTTTTTTGAATCGACACTTATGCGTGCACCAGTTTGAGTTCTTCAATCAACAGTTTCAATGACACAAAATCCTAACAAAAAAATAAAACTAAAACTGACCTAAATTTATCCTATCGAGATAATAAGAGTATATCATAAGTTTGCGTTGAGAGATGTCTATTTCTGGGTTTTTGTTCTTTGAGAAACTGATAACATAATGGGTTTTCCAATGTTATTCTTTTGTTACTGCAAAATTTTTGTTCTTTTCTTACTATGTTTTGCTTAAAATATCCAACTTTTTGTATTAAAAAATGAAAATTCTGAAATAAAAATGACCACACAAGCACACTTTTTTACTACCGTTTTGTCATTTCGAGATCGATTTTGTCATATTTTTACATGTTATATTGTTATAGATCGATACATTTTTATAAAGTATCAACACTTTATTGGCGCTATAACTTCTTTTCTTTTAAATTCCAAAAGTGTCGATACTTATAATAAAGTATCGACACTTTCAACATATCCGGTAGCTCTTTACCGGTTTTGTCATTTCGAGACCGGTTTTATCATATTTTTACCTGTTATATTGTTATGGATCGATACATTTTTATAAAGTATCGACACTTTATTAGCGCTATAACTTCTTCTCTTTTAAATTTCAAAAGTGTCGATACTTATAATAAAGTATCGACACTATCAACATATCCAGTAGCGCTTTACCTGTTTTGTCATTTATAGATCGATTTTGTCATTTTTTTACTTGTTATATTGTTATAGATCGATACATTTTTATAAAGTATCGACACTTTCAATATATCTGGTAGCGCTTTACCTGTTTTGTCATTTATAAACCAGTTTTGTCATTTTTTTTACCTGTTATATTGTTATGGATCGATACATTTTTATAAAGTATCGACACTTTCAATATATCCGATAGCGTTTTACATGCTTTGTCATTTATAGACCGGTTTTGTTATTTTTTACCCGTTATATTGTTATGAATCAATATATTTTTATAAAGTATTGACACTTTCAATATATCCGGTAGCGCTTTACCTGTTTTGTCATTTATAGACCAGTTTTATTATTTTTTTACCTGTTATATTGTTATAGATCAATATATTTTTATAAAGTATCGACATAAACCGACAAGCTAAGTTTGCCGGTTGCCAAATTTTTTAATATTTCTTCATGATTTCCACCTATTACATTATTATTACTCGATATTTCCGATAGCGCTAAACTGAATTTATCAAATATCTTTTAATGTATCCGGTAACACCGTATATTAACTATATATTAATCCGCCTTTCCAAAGACAATCCCCACATATCTTCCTGAAAGAAATACCCTTAATAATATTTACTACAAGTAGTGTATTTTTTTTTATTACAAAATTATCAAATTTAAGAATATCAAACTAATATATTAAAATATTTGGGGAAAATTAATATATTAAAATATTTGAAATTAGGGGTTAATTATTATATATAGTACGTATGTTACTTTTATTTGGGTGAGAGTGCTTGCCCAGATTAATAAAAAATAAATATGTCCGGTATGAATATGGTCAATTTTCCAACAACAAAAAGCAATATATTTGGAACAAATAGAAAAAATCAAAGTAATATATACTTAAAATTAGAAAAAAATCCGAGTTAAGGTGTTTGATAAACGGAAAAATACAAATTAAAAAAATTAATAATTAAAATTAAGTTATGGAATATATTTGACAGGTTACCTGAAATTAAGTGCGGAATATAACAAAACCATTAGATAAAGATAAATTTTAAAGATAATAAAAAAATTAAAATATAAAATTAAAATAATGACAATTAGATATTTTATTTATTAATAATACCTGCACTTTTAATTGAAAAATATTATATTAAATTGTTCAATAAATTACCAAATAAAATTTATCTTAAAGGGAAGAGCTAACTATCAGCTCAGCTATACATGATAATTTATGGAATGATTTTATTATTGAACACTAAATGTAGCATTCATCCATCACAAGAAAGAAAGAAAAAATCTCATAAATATGAAAGAAGAAAAGAAATTAGAATGTGCAAATACCAAATGCCAAAATAAACAATAACAAGACAATGAACTTAAAGATTCAGAATCGAATGTTTATAATTCAACTTTGCTGCATGTTTTTTTTATCCTTGGAATTCCCATAGCCCTATAGTCTTTGTTTTGCTTCACATCCTTTTGATTTAGATATTACCTAACTGCCATCTCCATTCGCCACAGCAACTTCTGTGTTAGTAGCACTGCCGCTGTCGACTTTTGGAGGAGCGGAGAGCCGCCTTGGCTTGGCGGGTGATGGTGGATAAGAAAGCCGTTTCTTGGTAGACACGATTGGTCCTTTCTCAGGTGGTGTTCCATTCACTTCGAGTCCCAACGGACTTTGCAACCTGGTCTTAGCTCTTGCGGATTGAGTTGGTACCATGTAACTCGGAAGTGATGGGGAGCTTGCTAGGCTCTCGTCGTCTCGTACGAATGAACCTTCAGTGCTGTGCCTCCGGCTTTTTTGGGACTGCACGCTCACCATGCTTCTTGTGTCATCATCTGGACCGACCGCACTGATCCTGGGGCTTGCTGACTTAAGTTTTCGGGAAGGCGTGGAAGGTGGCTTGGGAGTAGAAGGGGATTGCAGACTCGTTTTTTGGCTCGGCTTTTGGCTGGCCTTTGGGGATTGCTTATCCAAATTGAGTTGGTAACGAGCATAAGCTTTGCTGATTTCTCCTCCGAAGCTGCTGCGTCCACTCTTCACCGAAGACTGGTCATTGTTCTGCTCTTTTTCAGCCATGCCACAGCCATCCCATGGCCGAGCTGCCATCCAACGTTCCAACCAGCTCCAACCCCAGGATGGATTGTTCGGATCCATAAACAGCGGATTCATGGATTTCGAAGCATTCTTCCAGGTTTGCTGTCAGACACATAACTTTGTTTAAGCATTAGGATAAGCTACTAACACGGGAAAGGGTTACCTTCGGACTTTGACAACACAATATTGAAGAGATCATGGAACTAATGATGTCGGATTATGGTATTTCGATCTAACAGTCATTCAACCGATTAGTGTTTTTACTCTCAGCACCAATCTTTTTTTGAAGTAATGTAGTCATGTCTAATTCATTAATGTCAGTAATGATGTTCTTTACTCTCTAACCCGGAAACCAGAACTATAAACACACAGCCAAGCAGATTAAGCATCTGATTATCGTATGTACTGAGTGCATTATATAAAACTAGAAGACAAAGGTCACCTGATGCGTAAACGAATAAGCCATGGCCTTTTCTCGTCTCATCGCAGCCTCGTGCCTGCTCAATAAGCTTGCCTCGATTTGTTCCTTTGACTGCAGGCTATCATCCCAGTTCTCCCCCATCTGTTGAAACATTCATAACCAATGGTCATGGGGAGGATTTTTGTATATATATACATATATATATATATAGGTGAACCAAATTCGGAGAATATTCAAACTCGATTTGCCTTCCAACTTCTACATCAAATATGCTAACTTTGCCATTAAATCCAGCAAGTGAGCCTCTTTCACCTGCAAGTTCACAATATCTTTTGCATGTTTCTGTAAGAGTTGCCTTTGAAGAGCCTGATTTTCTTCCGTCATCCGGATTCTCCTCATTCGAATCTGACACTGCACGCGAGAAAGAGTTTGCATACACCGAAGGGTAGCGGCTGCTTGACGTTTAACAACAGGCCCTTCCAACATTGATTTCAGCCGGACCAGTCCTCTTAAAGCACGCAATGCCCTTTTTGCCTGAAAAAGAAGAAATCGGCATCAGTCGAATTCGATACACAAGTTACACTAATGAAAGTCACTTCAACATTGATAAGAAATTCACACATTATTCTTCTAGAATGAATTCACAATAAGCTCAAGCCATTATCACGAAGTTTCATAAAGGTAAATATTGCAACACATACAAGGTAACCTCGGAAAGCGGTTTGAATTCTTATTGCTGCAACTTCCTCATTCGATTTTCCAGCAAACCTATAGCCCGTATCAAGTTGACGACCAACATTCCTAACTGCCTGAGCCGGAGCATCCGGTGCAACATCATCGGCAACAGGGGCAACTGCCACGGGGTAAGGTTGCTCGTTCGGTTCTGCCTCGGCTTTGATCGCTTTCAACTCTTCAGGGTGAGGAGGGGACAACTTGACAGTTTCTAAAGCGGCTGCATCGGAATCACAAGGACCGAAATCCACCTGCTTCTCCAAAAGCTGTTCTTTGGATCTCTGAAGAAAAGAAAAACCATGGCAATCAAGAACATTAAAAAAATACTCACTGGGGACTAATAAAAAACTATTCTTTGGAGTGATTTTCTTTTCAGACCTGAGTTTTCTTCTCCTTGATTTCTGGGCTAAAGGCCTTCTTCAGATAAGACAGCCATTTTCCTTTCTTCCCCATCTTGTCTTTTCCTCGGTGCAACAATCCGAATTCTCACTGCAAAATAGTAGGGTTTTAGAAATGAACATTATCATTCATATTCAAAGAGGCAAAACGGCAAATAGCTCATAAATGGTAATATTAATAACAGATCTACCATAAACCATAAAGAAAAAACCAAATACTCGATACTGCAAATTAGGAAGGAGAATAAAGAAGAAGAAAAAAGTCCAAAAAGGGAGAAAATTCAACAATTTCTTACAAATTGGGAGACAACCCAGATTTTGGAAGACAAACAGCAACATCAAAGGCAGAAAAATTCAAACAAGAAGAGCTAAAAATAAAGCAACTTTCAATGGGGGTCCATGAAACAAAAACAGGAAGCAGAAAAGTACCCGAGATTATAATAATGCCCAGATCTCAAAGAATTTGAAGGGGGTCGTTTTTCCTTTGTTTTATCTTCACAAGGCAAACAGGAAACAAAGGATGAGAAGCTTGAAACGGTCAATAATTTCTTCAGCAGCTGCCTACTGTGTTGTGATATGGACTTTTGAAAGGAAAGATAAAGAGGAACAGATCTTGACAATAAAGCATTTAGGGAATATGAAGCAGAAACAGCTGGTTTCTCTTGCTACTCTGATCCCACTTGTTTGCTCCTTTGTTTTTGATTGGTTGGGGAAAAATATATCCTATCTACCTCATGTGTTTTGCTTTGCCCCCCAAAATTTTGGTAAATAAAACAGTTACTTTTTTTTTAAAGCATCTTCTCTTCTTCTTCTTTTTTCCTGTCGTTTTCGAGTTTGTAATAATGGCATTTCGCTTTCAGTGAAAACTGAAAACCCAACCTTAAAACTTCTAGTGTCTGACAGTAAAAAATGTTTTTTTTGCTGTAATTGGATTGGTACTTTAATTTGACTCGAGTTGAGTTTACCTTCAAATAGTTGGATTTGTCGAACGAGCCTACGTTAAAAATATTTTATTCAATTCAAATTGCTTATGAATCTAAACTGAACTTTTTTAATTACAACATTTTTATGTTATCCAAAATAATTCCGAAGCTCAAACATTTTTATGGTTTCCAAAATTCACGAACTCAGACCATATAATAAAAGTAGGAGCTTTGGGAAAATTGTCGGCAGACACCGACAAAGGTTTTAACTTGGAAAAAAAAAAGGATTTGCAATTGCAAGCAGACCTCGACGACAACTAGGTAAATGTCCTACTCCTACCTGTAATTGATTCTAGGATGCACCTTCATTATCCACCCTTCTTAACTGCCATACCGATTCTCATTATAAATAAATAAAATTGAAATAAGACAACATTGCTAACTGTGTGATTGATTTTTTTTTAATTTTATGTATACATAAAATGAAATTCCTGTTAGTGAGTTGGGTTATCGGAGAAGGTTTCAACAACCATTGACTTAGTGGGAATCATCTTCACCAATTCTTTAACAACATAGGCTCCCACTCATTTTTCAGATCGTCGATCGTCCTTGTAAACAGCTAGGTAAACTCGATGGCAATGCGGGGCGTGTGACATTCAAAGCATGCTAGAGATACCGGCTTCAAAACCACCAGCGGTTGCGTCGATAATGAGAGCGGCACAGCACAGTCTGCCTGCGAGGCACCAGTAACCATGCTCTTGATAAAGCCACGGTGTCCGGCCAATGCCAGTGCAATCGTATTCTGTGATATAGGTCGATATCAATGGTAATACCACTCGGCGGGAAGTTCTATCGTAAGGCGGCCTTAATATATATTTAAGGAAATGCGTTATCTGTTTTGTTATTTTTTTAAATCGGTAAAAATTACTGAAACATTATTGAGCATTTTATCGAGCTTGGTAATATATCTAATAAATCGCTACCTAAAACATTATTATTTTTATCGAATATATTACCAAACTCAATAAAACATCTAATAATAACAAAACCGCTAAAAATAATAATAATTTCAGTAAATTTTTACTAATTTTATTAAAAAAAAATAATAAAATCAATAACGTAACCGTATATTAAGATGTAGAAAGACTTTTCACCACTTGGCCTTTAAAACAATAAGCTAAAACAATCATTACGCGTACCGTCATTGCCCAGTCCACAAGGAAGCAATCATTCCTTCCTGCTTTTTAAAAGGAAATTCTCTCAAACTGAAAAATAAATCTAGTTATGTTCTTATATTCGACTTGAAAATTTAATCTTAATATTTTATTTTTGATTTATTTAATCTTGTTATTAATACTTTATACATTAATTTAAACGACTAACAACATTGAACAAGTTCATCTGCCAACCAATGTGAGTTAAAAACAATCCAAACTAGGAGGTTAAATTGGATTTTTAAAAAAAAAATAATACAAATAAATAATTATAATTTCTTGATTTAAATGATAAAAATTCAAATAATTTAGCTTCTTTTTTATTTTGTAAATCCACGTCAACTAATAAAAAAGTTCATCAACTGCTTTTTTTTCCTAGCATTAATAACTTGAACTTAAGCTTAAAGGAGATCAAATTATGGAAAATTAAATTACAAGGACCTACTCAAAGTATATTAGAATGCAACAAAAAAGAAACAGCCCAAGTTATGTCGACAAAGAGCAATTCCGACGAGTCCTTTGATGAACAAACTCAATCAATTTACATCCCACAAAAGATGTGGCTAAAGGAAACTACAAAAAATTAAAACATTACAACGAAATCACTTGTAAAACCTTACTTTACTCGTCAATTCCGTAGTCCTCCCCAAAGTATTTATCAACTAAACCATTGGCCATGTTTCTCAAGTCTTCATTTTCATGGAACTGGTATCTTTCCATTGCATCAATCCCGTCCTCTTGTTCAACTAGTTTTGGTCCATCTCCATTTGGTATCCCTCTCAAAACCTATGATGCATAAAAAAAATGAATATGGTTTTTGATATTCCTCAAAACACTAAGGAAAGATCATTGTGCATCTATATAATGTGGCTCGATTTAGAATTGCAGCAAGTAGAACAAGTTTGCCATGCCAACAAATAAGGAAGTACAAAACATGAATCCGAATTAGAAATGTCAATTTTAATCCAAACTTGAAAATCCAACCCAATCAACCCGAACCCTAAAATGACTCAAATCAGAATTGATCCAAACCCAAAAATGATCCATACTTGAACCAACCAAAGCCCAAAATGACTCAAACATGAACCCAAATAAAAAACCCTGAAATGACCTGACTTGAAAAAACTGAATGATCCAAACCCAAAATAACTCAAACTCGAAACGGAGTAAAAAAAAATGAGCCAAACCCAAAAATGGAAGGGGGAGGGAACTCTCAAATTGAACTGACCCCAATAGACAACCAAAACCTAACCAAGCCAGCCCGATTGACAGCTCCAATACAAAATTATTCAAAAATAAGTAGTCAAATAAATATATCTGCTATTCTGCTGTAAATAACATAGATAACTTTCTACATTATGATGATGTGAAAACTGACAAATAAATTGCTAGATTTGCTCACCAGCTCGGTGAACTGAAGTCCTAGTCTGGCAGCCTCTATATCAGCAGATCTAACCAAATCAATAAAACCTGAAAGGCAGCCTCCTTGAACAAGGGAAACCAGGTGATCCTCGACCAGATTCGGCTTTCCCTCACCTACAGTAGGTGCAACACATAGGTTGCCCAACACATATGCTACTTCCTTTCTTATATCAAAGGGTGCAGTTGAAAGAAGACGTAGCAGTAAGGCTACAGCCTCACTAGAATATATCATCTGCTTGTGTTCAATTGAACCAGCTGCTATATTAGATAAAACCCATGATGCTTCCTACATGAACCATAAGATTTCCAAGTTAGAATTAATGATGAGGATTAATAGCAGCATGAATTAAGAAAGCTTGGTCACCTTCTTCAATACTCTGTGATCACTCTTCAGACATTTTACAAGGACTTTAATTACACCATCTGGAAAGGCAATCAAGATAATCAACCTTTTATATCTAATGAGATAAGAATTGCAAAAAAAAAACATCTCCATGAAGCTGAGATATTAACTAACCTGTGATTTCATGTCCAGGGACGAGAATAGTGGAAGTTGTATGTGAATCACCAGCTACAAGATTGCCTAAACTTCTTAGCACCTAGATGAAACATTATTCATTATTTGTTATAAACATGACGGTAAGAACAAAAGATCTTGAAGAATCCAAGTCCATTTAAATCCATGAAAATTGCCTTGTGACAAACAAAGAAATACTACATGAGAGTACACTTGCATTAGATGAAATCAAACTCAGTACCCCCATACCAGGTATGGTTTTAGGAGATTTGGATGAATCAACAGTATCATGCAGGAGATACGCATATAAGCATAAACTTATGATAAAGCAAATATAACTCATAATTCATTTCATATGTTACCGGAATGAGCAGTTGCAAACTATTTGACGTTGCCAATCTTTCCACAAGAAGATGAAGGACATCACTCTTCACCAGAACACCAGTAGCGAAATTAGAAAGGGCTGAGAGATACACCACCACCCATGCTACTTCAGTGGCCACCTCCTCATCCCTGGATTTGAGAAGCAACTTTTCAGTGTGTCAAAAGTCATGTTACATTTCAACAGAACTAAATATTTAACTTTATTTAACTTGAAATCGGCACTTTCGCTTTTCGTAAGTGCCGAAGAATTGCATCAAGTACTCCGTCAACTTTGATAAGCTCTTTTGCAGCTTTAGGATCAGGTCCCTAAGTCCAAGCAAGAATTACGTTGTAAAAGAAAGTTTAGCTGTCATGACTCATAACCACAAACCTCCAAGGTGTGCAATGAGCAATGGTAATGCAGGCATCAAAGCTTTTGTTTCTTCCGGTTTTCCTGCTGCAATATTTGTAAGACACCAAGCTGCCTCGAGCAACTGCAATTTAATCAAGAAAATATAAAACAAATGGGAAACTAATGTGATTTACTTAAATGATTATGATAACTCTGTTAAAAATCTCTAAACGTCAGAAAAGCACAGATTCATCTAACTTAGGTGACATATAACAGAACAGTCAAATATATGAACAACCATTGCATAACAAAAGTCAACTAGTTGCAGCTTGATAGTGCTGAAAAATTAAATCCTTTCAACCTGCTCATCCGGAGAACCAAACGAAAGGCATTGCACAAGCAGGGGAATAGCTCCAGCTTTAAGAGCAGCTTCAACCGGAGGGAACTCAGATGAAGAAGTTTGGGCATCTAAAAGAAACCCTGCTTTATCAGTTAACATATCATTTTCCTCGACGGGAACATCGCCGTCACCGGTGGCTCCCACTCTACAAAGCCGTTTCGCTCGGACCAACGATTCTCTCCTCTCTTTCCCTAACGTCACCGCATTTTGCCGCCGTCGTTAAGCCGCTACATTCCCAACTGTGAAAGAACAAGGCCCCGACTAAAATGGGAACGTATCCTGTTCAGGGAAAACCTAGGCAGGAAGATAGATTACTAACCTGATGATTTAATGGGGTCTCTTCGATGGGAAGTGGAGGAATCATCGGCCATTTTGTTTTGAGGAATACTATGAAAGTCTGGATT